CCAGATTGCCCAATCTGAAAGAGGCTCTTTTCTTACCTTGAAATATAACATTAAACACTACTTACTCACGTGCCAGAGGGTACATTGTTTTTTTGTACGGAGTACACGATATACTCGAGAATTCCGTATCCTGGAAGAATCTGACCCTGATCTTTGTCATGTCAAATGAATCTTCGCAACCCTTATAAAATCCCTGATGCAAAAGAAGCAAATTGCCATCATATCCACGAACACAGCAAATAAAAAAAACGTCCTTGATTCATGAATATTGGGTCTCTTCATTTGACGGTAGAGAACCTGGAAGTGAAGTCTGGCTAAAAAGGTAATATGACGTGAAGTATAAAAATAGGTGGATGATTATCAATTTTTGCCTGAGGAATTATCAACCTTATTAGCGGGGGCATTCTGTGCCGCCTTGACGATTTGATTGACCAAACTCCATTCCTCTTCTCAATCAATACATTGAACCCCCCTTTTACGAATATTCTCTTCATTATCTTTCCCTCATGTATGACGAATCCTTGAATCGATAACGATTATCGCAAAACCTGTCAGATTCATAATTTGGGTGCAAGGGGGCTTTTGCAGCTCTACTTAACACAGCCCCAAATCGACACAAGCGCAAAGCTTCCACCACGGCCAACCTTGAAACCCAGGGAACGTCAAAACTGTTCTGCGATACTATTCTACTGTTATCCATCATTGACGCCCTAAGAAACGATCCCGCCATCTCTGGCGAACCTTCACCATGGCCAGCAGTAGTAGAATAGACTCGAGCCTTCCAGCGTATGTTTGAAACTCTGTCATACAAGAAGAATAGAACTGACAAACCTATAGGCAGCCCAACCTGCGATTAACTAGTAGGCCTGTTTGGCAATTGAATGTCAGTCGATTTACTAATCATCAACAGTAATTGCTGCCGACGGCTTATACAAGCGTGATGTTTTTAGTAGAGATACCGATTCCCCCCAAAAGACAACCGTTTTAATCGTGTGACTTAGGATTTCCGGACCCTTTTGCAGTTGCGACATTGAGTGGCGAGCAGACGAAGACGACCGCTGTTATCAAAAGGACTCTAAATCCATACTGGAACGAGATCTTCGACCTGTGAATATGAAGTGTCCTTTGCAGGAAAGAATCTGGGCTGATTTACTTTTAGGCGTGCGAACGAAGACAGTATATTGGCAGTACAGATATTTGACCAGAAAAAGTTCAAGAAGAAGGACCAAGGGTTCTTAGGAGTAATAAATGTTCGTGTTGGAGATGTCATCGACTTTTCTTCGCCCCAAGATCGTGAGTCGTGATATTTCTCTTTGTTGCCATTCACGGTTGGGGGCTTATATTTAATCACGCAGAAATGCTCACCCGGGATCTGAAAAAATCGACGGATAATCTTGTAGTACATGGAAAACTTATTATCAGTCTTTCCACAAATCTAGATGCCCCTCCAAGAGGAGGTAGCCTCGCCCCGCCCACGAACGGCCATTCAACATCAAGCAACCGACCTTCAATCCACACTCCAACTGGCTCCGTTTCTGGTTTCTCAAACTCCGCTTCTTCACCTGCTTCTCATACCCCTCAGCCACAAGGAGTCGTTATGGCTAACGGAGCTCTCTCCAATGGACCAACCCCCGGACATGCACCCGCTGCAGGCAGCGGCGGAAGTAACGCACCTACGGCCAGCGCAGGTGCAGGACATCGAAACGGTTTGAGCTCATTCGAGGATGCTCAGGGTAGATTGCCAGCTGGATGGGAAAGGCGGGAAGATAACTTGGGACGAACCTATTATGTCGACCACAACACAAGATCTACAAGTTGGAATCGACCATCTGCATCAGGGACGACCGAGACAAGACAGGACGAGAGAAATGCTAATACTCAAGTGGAACGTCAACGACATCAGAACAGAACTCTACCTGAAGATCGCACCGGTGCCAATTCACCAAATTTGGCACAGCAACAAGCTAGCAGTAGTGCTAACACCGCTGCTGCGACTACGATGATGGCTACTGGAGCCACGACTGCAGGAACCGGAGAACTTCCACCGCTCTGGGAACAGAGACATACTCCCGAGGGCCGTCCTTATTTCGTGGATCACAATACCCGAACCACAACTTGGGTAGACCCTAGGCGTCAACAATATATCCGCATGTATGGTGGTCAAAATGCCAACAATACCATTCAACAACAGCCAGTTTCACAACTTGGTCCTCTGCCAAGTGGCTGGGAAATGAGACTTACAAACACTGCAAGAGTCTACTTTGTGGATCACAACACCAAAACCACTACCTGGGATGACCCTCGACTGCCCTCTTCCCTGGATCAGAACGTACCGCAATACAAACGTGATTTCAGAAGAAAGCTCATCTACTTCCGTTCACAACCAGCCTTACGCATTCTCTCCGGTCAATGCCATGTTAAGATCCGAAGATCTCATATTTTCGAGGATTCTTACGCTGAAATTATGCGTCAATCTGCCACTGATTTGAAGAAACGTCTTATGATTAAATTTGATGGAGAAGATGGTCTCGATTATGGTGGATTGTCGAGAGAATTCTTCTTCCTTCTTTCTCATGAAATGTTCAACCCTTTCTATTGTTTATTCGAATACTCTGCTCACGACAACTATACTCTTCAAATCAACCCCCACTCCGGAATTAACCCAGAACATCTCAACTACTTCAAATTTATTGGTAGAGTGGTTGGTTTGGCCATCTTCCATCGCCGATTCTTGGATGCGTTTTTCATTGGTGCCCTGTACAAAATGATGCTTAATAAGGCTGTCTCCCTTCAAGATATGGAGGGAGTTGATGCCGATTTCCATCGAAGTCTTCAATGGATGTTGGATAATCCAATTGAAGGTGTTCTAGACCAGACTTTCTCGACAGAAGATGAGAGATTTGGAGTTACAAACGTCGAAGACCTTAAACCGGGCGGAAGAGATATTGAAGTTACAGATGAGAATAAAAAAGAGTATGTCGATTTGATGGTCAAATGGAGGATTCAAAAGCGAATTGATGAGCAATTCCAAGCTTTTATCACTGGCTTCCATGAGCTTATTCCAGCCGAGCTTGTTAATGTCTTTGACGAAAGAGAGCTTGAGTTGTTGATTGGTGGTATTGCGGAAATTGATGTTGACGACTGGAAGAAGCACACAGACTATAGAGGATACACAGAATCTGATGAGGTCATTAAGTTTTTCTGGCAAACGATCCGCAGCTGGGATGGAGAACAGAAATCTCGCCTTCTTCAATTTGCCACTGGTACTTCTCGTATTCCCGTCAACGGATTTAAAGATCTTCAAGGTAGTGACGGGCCGAGAAGATTCACAATTGAAAAGCAAGGAGAGCCGAACAATCTACCAAAATCTCACACCTGGTAAGCTACCTCTGAACGTCTATATATTGTACATACTAACAGCATGAATTAGTTTCAACCGACTGGATCTTCCACCATACAAGAACCTTGAGCAGTTGCAAACCAAATTGACGATGGCTGTAGAAGAGACAATGGGATTCGGACAGGAATGATTTATGTTTTGGAAGGGTTTCATTGGTTCTGCATGGTGTTATTTTCTATACAAGCTGAGGGAGGTCCAGGTTTCTCAACTTTTATATTACCTGGAATGGATTGGAGGTATGAATTATTATCCGGAATAAATAGCCGTCTCATGGCTCAAGTCTCGTTAAGAAATGCATTGTAACGATTGATACATTAATCGAAAGAAAACAAATTGAACTCAGAGTATCTGATGACCTTGTATTTAGTGGGTATCGCACTAGAAAGAATTGTCATTCGTTACCGTAAAGAATTACCCGTGATAGTTTTTTCTTAATGTGCCATCTCCAATCGAATACTTAGAGAATATTGAGCAAGATTTAGGGCTTGGCCTCCCGTACAAACTTTGGTATGGTAGGTCGTATTTGCAAAAGAATAGAGATACAAGATATAATGACAGCTTGCTAGTAACCAATCCAATCATTTCTTGGTCACGAGCACTTGTTTCGAGCAATAGATTTCGAGTGCGTACTTTGTTGAGGGCATTCCAAGTCTAAACAATAGGTCTGGCAATCAAAGACATATTGCGAAGCATGCTATTGAGACTTGATGAATAAAGATAACAGAGAGCAAGTGTCGAGAAATAATTACGGTGGATGGGTAGAGAGTAGAACGGGCACGACACAAGCATTAAATCAAAGTTATCGAAACTAGTATTCTTTAGTGGTTGTTTGTGTCTCTAATTGATGTAGATCTCTGGACTTCTACTTCGGGCCGCTTCTTCACTTGGAGGTTTCCGGTTCGTGAAATGCCTAATGCAATGCATACATACACCTGAACGACTTCGATTTAGTTTTCGAATGTTTACTTGTGTTATTGGTCGACCAACGGTAACAATTACTTCGTATATGTAGTGAGGTACGTTAGGAGTAGAAATATGCATGGCATATTGAACTACGTGGGCAACATGGTTGCTCGGCGACCCCTGAAACATGCAACCTAAAGTCGTCTATGTACACAGGGACTAGACTATTTTCGGAAGTGTACCAATGAAACGCTAGGTATTTTGGGGCAATATCAATGCGGGATATGCTTAAAAAAGGAGCATGGGGAAGCAGTCCGAAGATCATTCTGAAGATTGTGATATATTGGTTGTCCGGGGAGTTTCTTTTGCTTTTGAGTGTATGTTGATTTTGGTTGGAATGTCTTGGTTGGTCACACGGGGGAGTTTGGCTTTTGGACGGTGAAAAGGATGAGGATGGTTTATATATTTATATTGGATGTGTGCGTGTTGTTATGAAGTTTCTTCTTTTTCTCTGCTTTTTTTCTGTACCGCGTATATTACACCGTTGGATCAATTGATCATTGTGAAGTTATACAAACAACGCATACTACATTGCTCTCGCATATAGTATTTTTCTAGCACTCGCACTTACTTTCATACTCGTACATCTCATTTGCATCTATTCTACATCCCTACAACCTCAAACTCAACTTCAAAAATGCACTTCTCAAAAGCAACTCTTCCTTTCGCGGCCTTGGTTTCCTATGCTGCTGCTGCGACTACAGTAGCGGCTACAGGTGGTTTCTCTGGCGCGTGTGAGGCACAGAATGTTCTCGATGCATGTGTGAGTTCGACGACGGCGATTGCCCAGGCGTGTCAATCTACCGACTATCTTTGTTTGTGCACGAGTTGGAATTCAGTCTTGACGTATGTTTTTCCTTCTTCCACTCTATATTCTGAGATTTCTTCATCTGTCCTTGCGTCATAGTTGATCCGGACTCTAACTAATCAATCTATCTAATAGTTGCTATAACGTATGTCCCAATGACACAGGCTACACAGGGGCTCTCGCCAATAAACAAGCCTATTGTAATGATGCCGCGGCCTACGCATCAACTACTACATCTTCTGCGATCTCAAAAGATTGGCCTACGACTACCGCTGCAAGTGATGCGACAGCGACGGCAACAGGAGCAGGAAGTGGAAGTGGAACAACTACTGCGAAGGCGCAGACTACCGGAGGAGGCTCGTCAAGTAACACGGCGAGTGCAGCAGAGTCGACGAGTAGCCAGAGTAGTGGGGCTGGAGAGAGGGTTGTGGGGGTTAACGGAATGATGGGGGTTCTTGGGGGTATGGCTGCTGTGGGTGCTGCGTTTTTTTAGGAGAGGTTTAGCAGAGACCGGGAAGAGAAGCGAAGGGGATTGTGTGGTTCATGGGGTATGAAGGGGTGAGTATACTTAATGTGAGGGATGTTGGGTATGAGTTAATCTTGGGAATGAGAGATGCTATAATTGATTGATTAATTTCTATTGAATAATGAGCGGATGGAATGAATGATCAAGATTTGTTAGATCAAGTGGTATATAGTAGTAGTATTATTAACTAATTCTATCGTTTTCATGAACTCGGAGCATGGGGTTTACTGTTCTGAATTCGGATCACGGAGTGATTTCCTAGGGATGATAGTACAGTTCTGTATGATCTATTAGGTCGTCAAAACAGGTGCTGCAATATGCGGTCAGAATATTTGCACGATGGAATAGATGAAGTAGGATAGATAAGTATTGCTTTCTACTGTATGTACAAACACTCAATCGGTTCTCAAAAATATCCACAGGGAAATAAATAACAATGACAACAACATCAATCACCCTTCAACCATCGCTCAAAAAGTCCATCCATCATTCTTTGACGACCACCCTCTAAATACTCCTTACCTCCACCCCTTATAATTTTCATCTGGAAAAAATTATCCACTGCAGTATCCGGCCTTGGTGGGCTCGTCGCCTTTGTTGTTTCCAGTGAACATCTGGCATGCATGGGCGGTATCATAACAGACATTCTTCAACGTGGCCGTGTCTCCGTAGTTGGAATTGATACCGGCAAGGATACCGCCGTTGACAGCAGTCGTGCCTTCAATGTAGACGTTGCGCTTACATTGGGATTTGCACTGAAGGGAAGTTAGTTATGCATTGGTGAGAGAAGCAAGAAAAGATAAGTAGGATGAAAGGGACAAGATCGTAAATCGAAAGAAGCAACTCACGTTTCCGCAACTTCGGTACAACTTTCCATAATCCTCAACATAGAAGTTGATGATGTTGACAGTACCACATCCGTTGTGTTGGACGACTTTATCCGAGGCATGGTATGCTCCGCCTCCGATAATCCATGATTGATCACCAGCCTTGTCCTTCTTGATGGAAATCGCATCCTCGCATACGTCTTCGAACCAGACGAATTTGAGAGTGCAAGCTCCAGCACAATGAACACCCTCAGCTTGATTCTTGCCGATGATGACGTTTTGTAGAGTTGCTCCGGGTTGGAGGAGAAAGACGGCGTCAGAGTCGCCTGATGAGGAGTGTTAGTCTCATTTTTAGGGAGTTTGAATGTGTTAGAGTAGTTGTATTACTTACCTCCTTCAGTTTGTCCACCGCAAGCACCGGATCCACGATCATATCTTGCCCAACCACCGTCGAAGGTGGTTCCAGCAGCAACTTCGATGACTTTACTGTTAGTCTTGGTCGAGGTTGCTTTGGGAATTCCTCCACTGTAACCTAAGCAGGCGAGAGCGGAAGGGAGGATAGCCATGAGGCTTACAAGCTTGAGCGTGGCGACCATATTGAATGATTGGAGTCGATGCTGTGTGTAGATGAAACCGAGTCTTTGATGCTTGCCAGAAGATGAAGATGGTGGTCATTCAGTATGGCATCATGGCTCTTATATAGTCACAAATCTGTGGAGTGTTCGGAGTTCCTGCACCTCACTCGAGGAGAAATTTCTTCGCACCGATGAATTCGTAAAGATCCATAAAATCCCTCGGAGAATGATACTCTTCTTGGAACGAGATTCTAAGTCTCTGATTGGCATGTTCTAAGGGAGGCTGCAGTTCAATTCGTGCCTTCTTTCAAAGGTGGAGGGAGGTGAAGAAACAATTTGTGAATACGAACGGAAGAACTCTTCTTGCTCCATAATCTAGCTGGTCAAATTGATACCACGAGATCAGCTGGAGTGCTATCACAGCAAGATAATGTTGATAGCTGAGAGAATGATCACAACGGGACAACCCTTGAGGCTTTGTTGTGCTAGCATCATGTACATGCATTTTCGGGACGCATACAGTACTACTGAGTACCGACTTGAGAGCGAAAGCAATTGGAGCGATTTACTCGGTCCTGCAATCTTTGCCCAGGGATTACCCCGTGGTGTCTCCAGAGCTGTGCTACATCGTCATGTGCATAAGGAACGTGGTGATTGGAAGCTTGGCGGCTATCGAAGCTTCATTGTTTTTCCGACGTCAGCTTGGCGCTTACACCGTTGCATTGAGTGGATCCATCCACTCAGATGAAACCATTGTTGGGGGTATCGTGAAATCGGGAAGAGAATAGTGCGAGGTGTGGTTTAAAGAAACTTCGGAGATTAAGCGCCAAGGAGCCGCCAAGCGCCAAGGCAGTTGGTCCCAAAAAGCTCATGAGCTTGATGGACGGATTATATTTCTGCATTGTGATTGTCTTAATATTGTTGCATTATCCCCATCAATGTCGGGACGAGATACCGTCTAGATGCTTGACACGACTCGTGATAAGTGGAACTGAATGTATATGAAGGTGTGACTTCTTCTTCCATACATTCTGGCGGCCGATATTTCGCCTAAGTGCTCTAGATTTGACGATGTAGGACGGCATATTAGACGCACGGGATGACCATGTTCAAACACCTGGGTATGGGTATGATTATGCTAAAACGAATATCTAGCTATCTAGCTATGGGTATCGACTGTGGGCTCCTTCACCCTTCCTTTTCTTGTTGTAAATGATTACAATCTTGTAGAGATACCGTATTCGGGACCTCCTTTTGACTGAATTGACTGATAAAAAAATTGTAATTACCAATCCAACTCTGCCAATTCAGAAGTCCTCGAGACTTTACTTCTCGGACACGGCAACTCTACCTTCTTGTACTCTTTTACGAAAAGTCCAGATTCTCTCAGGATGTCTTCCCACAATACGAAATACATCCAGCTATCCTCAAATTGAGGCTCTGCCAAATGATCCGCATACACAATCCGTCCCATATTCTTACCGTGCCCGACCATGCCCACTCCGTCGGCCTCCTTTCCAGTGTCTTCCAGCCCGCTCGATCCCCAGGTCCACGCTTCTTGTCTGCGACCGTTATCAGTAACGATCATCTTGACTCTGCATTTTGCGCAGATAGTCAGATCAATATCGTTTCTTTGAGACTGATAAGGTTGCCCGCCGTAGCTGAGAGCCTTTATCTGCGGGATAAAGCTGTCAGGATCACCGACGAAAGAATAATCCGAGCGACGCTTCTTGACACCCTGGACAAGCGCTCTGGCAAGAAGGTCGGTGATGTATTCATGCGGCAGGAGTTTGGTCGACGAGGGGCTCTCAACGTGGTCCCAGAATTCCTTCTCCATTGCACACTGATCCCAACTTGTAGGTGGCAGAACTCTGTAGCATCCATCGCACCATTGTGCGCCACCACTCCAGAAGAAGCTCTCGTTCCACAGCAAGTCCGCGAGAGTCGGGCGCCATTCTACTTCACTATCATCAAGTGGCAGATAGTCAAAGCAGCGCTTGTCCATATCCAACATATAGTTTCCGCACGTCGATACTTGCAGGCTTAGAGGTAAGGACAGCCGAGCAGCATAGCAGGTATCGGGAGTTAAAGGGTGACAGCTACCATGGATGTACTTTTCAACGTCGGAATACTTCTTGAATACTCTTCGGAAGTGGGAACCAGTTAGCGAGAAGCAAACTTTGGAAACGACATCAAGCTCGCTCATGATCTGCATGATGATATCGACTGGACAATTTTCAAAGGCGCCAACTACATCGCTGTTTTGAGTTAGCCAAATTTGCACATAGCCGAGGGGATTTAGGGGAGAATAGGTTGCAGGTGCGAGGCATAGAGAGGTGACTTACGCGCTGTCGTTCACAAGTGGTGATACGATTGTATCCTCCACATCCACATCGTCGATGTCTTCTTGTTGCTGCAGTTGAAGCTTTTGCAAGCTGTGTGCGACAAAACTTGGAGAAGACATGGCTATGAGTATGTGGCTAGATGTACCTAGAATATAGATCTGTTAATAGATATGACTTTGAATGTTTTGAGATAAGGCTGTTCTGTATTTGAACTCTCTTCTTGATTGAATACATGTTGAATGAATAGGTAGCTTCAATGCCAATGACTACTGGTGATGACTACATCAAGAGATTCTCATGGAGCTTTGTGGTGAATGATTTCGGATGGAGGCGGAGACTTACGGAAATGGTTATAATTAAGGATATTACTATTAAGTAACTCGGACGAATATCTCGAGTGTCAAGGTAGTGAATGATAGGTATTTGATGTTTGATAGATTAATAAGATGTAAGTCTATTCTTTCTGTGTTGCCGGCTATCTTTAGAATGTGAAATATATAATTTTGAAAGGTACGGGGGTTGTCTACGGTCTTTATATGCAAATGATAAGTAGTGTATCAAGTTGGCGACTTCTTGAAGTTCATTGAGGATTGTACTAAAAGGCGCTTAGTCGACATTATGAACAGGAATATATTCGTCATAATAGACTATTTTGCTGTAAGTATCAAACTATGAGTGTCAAGCTCTATTTTTATGTGACTAGAAAGTCCTAGTATCAAGATCTACGTTTTTTTGTCGGTAGCGCTTGCCTTAAGAGTCAGACCAAGATGTACTACCAGATGAGTCTTTTTTTGGAAGGTGTAAGTACCTACCTAGTAACAGTTTCTAACAAATCTTAGACGAATCCTGAGCAGCTAGTCTGAGCCATCGAAGCTTCCTGATCTCAAGTTTTCTCGCTAGTTTTAGGATGTAAGTTTCTTCTCAGGATCCTTTCCAAAAGAAGGTTAAGAAAGTAAATTCCTGGTATTAATGCAGCCAGAGGATGAAACTTGAAGGCCCAGCTAACATTGACTAGTCGCGAAAGTTTTTCTATAGTCTGTACTACATTTCAGCTTTTTCGATTTAATGGCACTGGAAAAGAAACTCAAATCGCTCTAGCGTCATGTCATACGGCTTGTCTGATCACTCCTCGAAGAACCTTCCAACTCTCACTCTCACTCGTCCAATTTGTTCAGACCTTGCGTTAAGTTTGAGATGGACCCCTTTTCCAAAGGCCCGTAACTGATATGAGTCTCGTGTAACGAAGCCACAAACCAGTCAAGTATAAGTGGCCTTGCCAAATTACCCATGTTTCGCGGCAATCTGCATTGGCAGTCTTCAAGGTTCTCTACGTTTCTCACGCGCCATCAGATATAGTTTCCCGAGTCAGTAAACAAGGCAGCAAGTTATGGATGATGAGCCATGGACCATGGGTTACACAGCATCCATGGATGTCAATGCACAAGGCCATATTCATATGCTGAGCCTCACTTAAAATCGGGAGCCTGCTAGCGAATTAAAAATCAGCAATGTGTTTGCATCATCTCGAGATCGCTTCCGGCTTCTTTTGAAACAAAAACTCGACAATGGGCGCCTTTAAAGTTCTGGGTTTCAGTTTAGTGATATTTCAAAAATGCAAATTAGTCGATCAACGTTAGATCATATGTCAGCGTGTCATAGGTCGATACTTAGCCTTTCCTACTGCTTCTAGCTTGGCTGCTTTTTCCTTTACTCTACTTTTAGTTTGATCATCCTTCCCATTTATAGATCCATCTTCTGATGGGGAATCTGTTCCCTGTCCTCCACAATATATCATATATGGATCAAAACGTCTTTTGATTTGAGCGCTGCCGTAATTTTATGATCAAGATAAGTACAATAGTCTCATTATGACTCATTGATAAGCCTTGCAACACTCCCCAAGAGAGGTAATCCTGTTTGAAATGCTCACTTTATGGATACTGTCAAGATTTTCTCGCAATATAATCGTAGCGTTCAAAGTAAATTGAGTTGAATCCGGTGGTGGTTGGTGCAAGTATTTCAAGTTATCAATCGTTTCGTTATGACTCTCGCGGATCCAGAAACTAGCCAGACAATTGCGTGATTGTTTAAAGCCATTACTAGTGCGAAGAACGTAGGCTAGACTGAGCTAGTCAATCTAGTTGATCACTGCTTCGGCGAAGTGTATCTTGGCCTTTGGGAAGCCACGATTCGAATGAAGATTTTTCGGAAATCGACACTGAATGAATATACGTTGCCTCTTCGAGTTTTTACACGTCATTTTGCCTGATATTCCAGAAAAATAGGTTCTTTCTTGCGCTTAAACTTACTTCTACAATGTAGAGGCACTATGCAAGTCTTGACAGCTGCTGGCTACTTAGGTACAGATACTGGCAACCCACAATAATAGCAAAGCAGCACCTCATGAACCAAAACCTTTGTAAATTTGTATAGTCAGGTTCGGCAGGACCAAACTAAAGTACAAATTTCCATGATACTGCTTTCATGCGGATAGTACTGGGTCTAGACCCACTCTTAGTCTAATCGTCGCTTTTCCGCCGAGCGTAAAGAGACGAGGAAACCTCTGAATGGTCTAGACCAGAAATCTGGACACTCTTATATCCCTGTACCCCAGTACAGATATGCAACAGAAAACAATAAAGCAGGATTTTACTTTCAAGTAATCTTCACACCCTGGTACAGATATGCAACAAAACATGGAGGGATCAAATCCTCTTTATCCGGTTCGACAAAAACTTTCTTGATTTTGGGATCATGGCCAATCAAACTTCGATAGACCGATTGCGTTATGGACCTTTGAGCATGATCGACACTCACCAGCCTCCCATTTTCGAAGTGTGTGTCTACCTCTAATTTGAAGGATGCAGACTGCACTCAGCGCAACAGTCGAGTATCTTGTCCACCTGCCTAGATAGGTATGCTTAATCAGAACCAAAAGTTTGTTCTTCGAAAAAAACAGGGTGAGCTGTGAAATATTTTGCAAAAGATAGAACAGTCATTCAATAGTCGGCAACGAACATACGGACCAAGTCATTTCACCAAATACATTAAGAACAAATTGCTGCAAAACATCAAGAAGGATATGGCATGGTGTAATTATCTTCAGAGGTTGACGTTGCGATATTCTCCGAATGTCGGCAGTTCGGCGGCAGTTTACATGTGAGTTATGCATGATTAATAATCTGTCGATCATTGTCAACGTCCAACGTCGGTTCCATCAAGGAAAATCTTATATCACATCCAAACATCGAATCCCAGCTTTGAAGAAGCAATCTTTTCGTTACCGTACTCGTTCATAACAAGCTTGACCCAATGGCAGCCCCTAATGAGACCTACACTCCGGCATTTCCTCCAAAATCCAAGCCCCACGTTTCAACCGGCATCCCCTTTCCTGAAGCATGTGCCCATCACATTAAAGATACTTTCCATGCCTCAAAGGTCTACATAATTGTATCGAACTCTATCAGCAAGACTTCCAATTTTAGCTCTCTTCAGGAACGTCTTGGTGATTTGGTTGTGGGCGTGAGGTATGGAATCAAACCACACACACCATGGGATGATGTCTTGGAAATCGTACGAGACATGCGAGAGAAACAAGCAGATATCATTGTTACGCTTGGAGCTGGATCACTTACTGACGGAGCAAAAATAATCTCATTCGTATGTTAAAATCGTTCATATAACCAGGATACATTCCAGCTTAACATTAGTACCCAAATTTTTGGGTAGCCTTAGACCTCTAGCTTGCGGTTGTATGCGTACCAGATTTACCACCCCATGCTATTATACCCCCCAATTTTGGTAAAAATCCTTGCAGGATTTCCTAACACGGAACTAGGCATTAGCAAACAATGTATCCACTCCCGATGGACTCTACTCTCTCTCGGCCGAGGCCAAGACCTCGGATCTAAAGCCATGTCACGTCCCTATAATCAACATTCCAACATCCCTTTCTGGCGGGGAGTACTCACCATTTGCTGGTGCGACCAATACTTCGACGCATCAGAAGGTGGCCTTCAATCACCCATCGATGGGCACATCTCTTATCATTCTATCTCCTTCCCTGTGTATTTCTACTCCTCAACATGTTTGGCTTAGCACTGGTCTTCGAGCAGTAGATCATTGTGTTGAAGGACTATGCTCGCTCGATGAAAAGGTTTGCGCCGGAAGCGACGAGGAGTTCTCGAAGGGATTGAGATTGCTTATACCAAATTTGTTGATCACTAAGAAAGATCCGAAAAACGAGGACGCGAGATTAAAGGAAATGTTGGGGGTGGTTGAAGCAATGAAGGGGGTTAGCAGAGGCATCCCAATGGGCGGGAGCCACGGAATTGGGCATCAGTTAGGACCGCTAGGCGTTGGCCATGGCGAGACGAGCTGTATCATGTTACCGCATGTATTGAAATATAATGCAAAGCATGGCAGTAACGACGAGAAAGTTATTGGAGGACAAAGAAAAGTACTGGAGGTTTTGTGGGAGGAAGCTGCCGTTAAAGACGTACTCAAGAGAAGCGGATTGGAGAGAGAAACTTCCGATGCAGGTGATGTGGTGGGTGCTATCGTGCGCGAACTTGGCATGCCGAGGACACTGAAGGACGTGGGCGTAAAGAGGGAGCAGTTGGATGCACTGGCGGACAATTGTTTGAAAGATAGGTGGTTAGCTACAAATGCTGTACCTCTGACTAGTAAGGAGCAAGTGCTCGAAGTGCTGGAAATGGCTGCTGGTTCATAATATGATCATTGTGAGGGGCCATTTTACTAGCGACAACTTTTAGTCAAACTCATGATTTGGTGATTTTTATTGGTGTTGTTCTTAGCGGCTTTGAAACTTTGTTGCGCATATATTCTGCAGCATATCACAATTTTTGTCAGTTTTTACACACCGATTACCTTCCAGCACCGCGAAAGTGTTCGAGAATAGTGACATGGAATTATTTGCAAGATAATCAAAATTTCCAAAGGAAACAAAAGGCAAAAAAATGTATATTGTACAGTGGTCAAGCTGTTTGTTTGGAAGGGAATTTGTTCTTACCAATTTTGTCTTCTCGTCGCGCCACCACCAAATTTTGTATTTGTCCTGGTTCCCTGGTACAAGCCAGGTAGTGGGTCCCATTGTTGGTTCGATGTTGAAATTGTCCCTGCAGAGCAGATTAATTCAATTGCTTATAGTCACACTCCGAAGAGGTCGGACTTGTCGATCCATAAAATCCCACCCTAAGAAATTATTAGCATAAGAATCTTAGAAGTAAGAGTCGAGGCATATAACAGCTTGACCACCGAATATGTTTGACTTTGTTGTTCTAGGATCAAGATATCTTCAGTTATGTGGTACCGTTGCCGCGACAGGAGTGAATCATGATGAGTTGATGAAGTGCGCGTAACACGTGATGGCAATTGGAATGAATTGTTTGGCCACTCCTGGAAATCGTACATCAGCGCCTGTGCGTTTGTGATGTAATGAAAATGTGTGTACGGTACTTTCATGATGATTCCTTTCTATGTCATCAATAATTCAATTAGGATCTCTATATATGGATGCGTTGCCGTGCACTGAATGGTCTCATTTCTGGTGCAGCCGTGTTATTCTACATCCTGCTAGTCAGCCTCAGTTATTTAACATACTGGATTCATTTATTCTTGTCATTCTACTAAAGAATATCTCAATATCTGAAAGACAAGAGGCATGTTCCAGCGATTCCTTTAGTTCGATCCAAGTCTAGATTTGTCCTTTCCAAGTAGCATCACGTGTTTGGCAAAACTAGGGGCAAATACCCAACTACCTTTCCCTGGAAGACCACATTGTTCATCTGCAGAGGTTTTTAAGATTGGACTTGGATCTATTGCGCCTTACATCTGTTATTGAATATCAGTACAATGGACAAAATAGTAGAGAGTCATCAATTCTTAGTCACTCAGCTTGACAATGAGTCTACATCACGAAATCCACCTTTGAACGTGAAAAACCGTAGCCTGGAAGAGAGCTTTGTAGGTAAAAGCAGACTTTCGACGGGTCAACCTAATGTCAACTCTCCATCTTTAGCTTCAAATTCAGCCCACCAGCCTCTTGGGCCTTCTCTACCTGAATTAGAAATCCCCATTCGCACAACTCAACGACAGCTTGTCCAATCTCGCCCCAAGTCCCCGCGCAAAAATAAAGAGCATCCGGACTTACATACACACATTAGCTCCACATATAATCCAAGTCGGTCGCCCCAGGAACCTAGTTTCTTTCCATTGGAATATCCTCCATATCCAACGAATGACGTCAACTTCGATGAATGGACTGACTATGCTGCCTATTGTGGCACGGCACCAGAGCCAGAGCTTCTCAATCTTTTGTCGAACGAAGAGAATGCAAGTCTTCACAAAAAGTACTTCACACCTCGGTCTGCAGATGATCTTAACAGCGAAAATTCATCCTCTTGTGCCAAAAAAAAGTAACGATGCGGCCTAGAACACGCGACATTGAGGTCACAACTGCTCAGCCCACAAAGTCAACTTCCCTGATCGAGGAGTTGTGATTGCAAAGACACGAACTCATGGAAAGTATTGCGCTATCGTTACCAACTGAAAGCCTCGGGCTAGAGATCCAGAGAACAATCATGATACGTGGATAATGATCAGCTATGTTCCTCCCCAAAACAGTCCATTCACTACATCTCTTAGCTGAATTTTTGCTTTCAAATTTTCTCGGGGAAGCGGAACGAAAGCGCAAAGTGTCTCCGTAAACGGTATGCACCAATGCATATTTTTGCCCAAGATTTCCCCTTCCACGACTAATGGGTTGAACGATATCGGGTAAAGCGGTGGTCACATACATTTCTTTCGATGTCAAATAATAGAGTTTACGGGGTGCGCATTTAGTAATTACCTCAAACAGTAGGTAGTTTATGGGAGAATCAATCTACTGAATTTTAATCCCGGCTGGCTGAAATACGAATGTGTAGTAGCTATTTCAGCCTTGTCTATTCTCCAGAAGGCTACCGAGGTATACCTCACTCTTGTGATTCATGATAATATGAATGTTCACTTCGAAGGCAATCATTTCTTCCATGTTTGAATTTTAAAGAGTTCTGATCTTCCTTACAGATTTACTTATTCTACACCAATCTCCCACAATATTATCTCAACCACAAGAGATGTTAACTTGTCCACAAAAAGAATATGTTTGTCAAAACAATTGACGTGCCCACCAAGTTCCAATATCCTGTATATCACATTTACAACTCACACCAGCTTTCACAACTCATCAAAATTCACACGTTGCAATGTTTCATTTATAATATGTGCAGTATATCCCACCACTTCTCAAGTCTTTGCTAATGAGAAAATTTTCTTTTGCAGAACCCACCAAAGCATTCACTTACAATCACAATCTCTTCTCTTTCATTTCAACCAATAGTGAATGGTGAACGAAGACAACGAAAAATCAACGAAGAGAAGCAAACAAATGGCGACAACAAAAGATTGAGATTTCATCTATGTTAGTTAGATTTGATGGCAGAGGTCACACACAAGGATATCATGGCATGTCTAGGCTTTACCTCGAAGCGAGAATACATTTTTGTGAAAGGGGCGGCAGAACTTCGGGAACAACCATCAGCAATGTCAACCTGCTGTGGAAACCCCAAAAGTCAATGAACTATGCTGAGCAAGACTATAGTGTAGTATTTTTTCGAAACGGAAACTAGGAACAATAGAACGCACTCCAGAGATACTGGCAGATAGCTACGAAAGAGGCGCGACAATGGAGTATTTAAATACAGATTAAGCAGACAAAATCAATTTGAAAGCATCGATAATGGTACATTCTACGGAAGGAAATAAATCCTGAAAAGTAATGGAAATCGAAGGGCATGGGGAGTTATAACCATCGACAAGCTCAGTGCCCCACAGAGACTGCTCAACCACTTTGGCATGTAGAAGAAGGCACCAATTTCGACTCACAAATATTATCTTACAGTAGTTCAAAGATTCTTGAAATAAATTCGCATTTTTTGCTTGGCCGTATGTCATCTTTAAGCTAGTTCTGCAACATATGCACCATCGTATTTGAGGACAGAAGTTGATGGGTGACAGCAGGGATGTACGTGAGAAAGGTCCAGGTTTCAGGAATGGTCTCATATGTTCTTCAGGTAATTGGATATGAAAAAAAGTAGCAATGTTTCATACTCGATTTCATTGAGTCTGCGAATAATGGCGGGGTAATAATGTACCCTCTTGCAAAAATGTTCGTGACATGCGCCATACGTCTCTATCACTATCACCTCTTTTTTTCACCTTTGTTCCCGGCGTGGAAGCTTCAAAGTAGATTGTAGTACACTTTTCAGCATGTGTTTTAATTTGGAGCGAGGCTCTTGATGGGTCAAAAGTGTGTTTGGGCAATAAGAAGACGAATGGAGGGATTTCTAGTATATAAAGGTGACCACTTGAAAGTAGATAGAGTGACTATTATGTTTATGAATTAATATCATGAGAGAACTCATGTTATCCGTATTAACAAAGTAGATGGTTATAGAATCCATTGACAATAGAGCCAAGAGGAATCCTTAAGTGATGTCAATATTTTCGTTTGTTAATCTCTGCTACTAATTTTATACGCGAGTACATTGTTTATTTGTATTCCAGTCGCAAAGCCTCTCTTTGACTCTCATTCGTACATAATCTCTCACGAACTACGGTATCATCAATTCAGCTGCCATTAGCTACCATACTTCGAACAACATGTTTACTATGCACGACGACGAATTAATGTCTCTCGAGGAGCTTGAGAGGTTGATGGATGAGCAAGAAACTAAAAATGCCATGGCAACATCAGCTTCAACTTCAACAACCATTGCTCCCAGTACTGTTGCCACCATCGCTACGGCTACCGCATCTAAGGATATCTCGGAAGCTAGCAACGAAAAATCCTCCGGTGCCATCTTATTTAAAGAGCCACATAAAGATCAACAAACACCATCTCTCCCAACAACCACTTCCGACGCAAATATGTCGAAGAAATCTGGTACTCGAGCTAGAAAGCGCGAAGCCAAATCGCCTCAGAAACTATCAAAAATCCCTGTTCATATCACAGAGGACCGAGAAGCTCACCAAAGCTACTCCATGGAGAGAGATCCATGGACTGATCAGCGAGATAAAGAACACAACGCCGCCTACTTTGACGATGCCACTCTTGCTAAGCAAGCCGTGACTCTCTCCTTCGACGAGTCTGAAGGCTCCGGCGCCATCTCTCCTCCGGCTACGGGCACGGCAAATGCTTTAAATCCCCTTCCTACCAAGCCGGTCGCACCAAATTTAAGTTCTGAGCAACCAAAAGCCAAGCCTTTCGTTCTTGCTACACCAAATCAACTAGGCAAGTCTGACTCGGCCGCTACCCGAGTTCCAGGAGGCCCTCGTGAGGTCATCACGATTAGCTTTCCAACTACCGAGGCTTTTTCCTCTGGATTGAAGGATTTAAATGCGGCTAAGGAGGCTGGCGCTGGTGGTATGGTAATCTCAATCAATGGACCAATTGGGGAGAATCAGGTAGAGGTTTCTGGGCCAATTGGGTCTAATATTCGTGGGTTTGTTAGGAGAACTTGCCCTAGGCTAGGCGAAAAGCAGATAATGGCTGCATTTAAGTGAATGAAGGGATAAACGGGCCAACAGATGTAAATTAGACAGATAAGAAAGCGGTAAATGACTACTAGTTACTATGAGTCAGTAAACTACCGAGAAATACCTAATTTCCTCTTCAAGTATTATTTTTATTAACGTGAGACAATATATTGTTCTGGTTGTTATAAATCAGATAATGTAATCACAGTCATTGATAGTTTGAATGAATGATAGACAATTAAATGTTGTTATTATTGCAAACTATATCGTACAATTATACCTTTTGAATTATTGAATCAAAAGAAGATAATAAGAAGTCTTGATTTTTGTATATCAAGCGATAGAATAACAATCGTTTATATTCCAGGTTAGTGTAGGAGAATTTAACGGGCAAAATGTTTGATGCCAGATCATATGTCTAAGTCCACTGAAGACTTGATTTCACTTGAAAGAATATAGTTAAGTTAACTGGAAAACTCAAATGAAAGTTGTCAAAGTTTTGTAAAAGAGCAGAGCAATCGAGGGGCCCGACTGGTGCTTGAAATTCCCAAGAATCAGAGTTGCTATACGTGTCATGACATCAAAGGGACTCAAAAGTATGATAGACTCGCTCCCGACAACAACTCTGAGATTATGTAGAAGAAGAAGAAGAATCTAGTGTATTCAATTTATAATAGCAGGTAAGAAATTACAAGTATATATAAACTTATTCGGGATAACCGAGCACCAGTAGCTGCATCTTCGGAGAGTATATGCTAAAGCTCTAAACACCAATAACTAAATGTTTCTACTAGTCTATCCCATGAGACAAGACGATAGCCATCAGATTCAGAAGTCTAAGTAGTTTACTCTTTGAATATCATATAAGTCAAAATACTTGATCTTACAGCATTCTGCAGCTACAGCGATGGCATCTCCAGATAGCTAAATTCCAAAGTTACCAAGCGAACTTCAAGCATTAAAAGCATAGTCGTTCAATTTTAACTACCATGCCCGTTACCCCAATATAATTTGAATGTTGAAGGCACTATTGTCTAATGTCAGACACAAATTTCCCATATCAACTTGGAAGATTAAAATAACGGCAATCTGATATATCAGTAGTTCCTAATACACCAACTCCACCTGTACATCAGAAGTCCTACCCTACCGTCGGATATCAAAACCAACAAATTTCCAAGTTAACCTTGGATGTTGAAGATCCTGCAGCCCAAAATCAGCGATCAACTCTTCAGCTCAACGGGAGTATTGAAAGGGTCGTCATCCGAAGGTTTAGAGTTGTTCATGATGGTTTATTTTTAGATTTCCCACATCTACAAAGAAACCTAATACCGAAATGTAAATGAATACCAAATATTACCCATCTGTATATTCTCCACCTCCATTGACTTATTAGATTCTTCGAATCTTGTATTTGACACATGTTATAAGGTCAGTATATGTCACCTTATCCACACTGTCGCTCCTCGCCCGCTCAGCATTCTATCGTCACTTAAAATCTAAAACATGGCTACTGATCTGCCTCTGCCAAGTGTCCAATTTTAGGGCATCATGCAAAAGAAGGAGTGGATCAAAGATTTAACGACAAACACCACGAGGGAAACGAAGTCGCTTCACAGAAACATCGATATGAGAAATATGAGTACACCCAGATATGGATATTTCCCGATGAAGGGTACATGTTACATACAATATATGGTATCTTAATAAAACTACACTCTTCTTTTAGGTACCTAGCATAGCCTATGTGGCTCTTATAAAACATGACGGCCCGTTCTTATAATCCCAATTTCACCCAATCTACTCTATTTATCTTTAAATTCCTGCGAGAAGATCTTCTGCCAGAGATCCAACCACTTTTGTTGTTGTGCTGTGAGAGCCTTTCCAGGCGTTTTGAAAGATTTGGTAAGTATGTCACGGAGTCGAGCTCGCATTGTTTTAATAGCAAGCATCGTTTTCCAATCCGACACAGCAAACCGAGCTCTATTACCATCTAATATGAAGACACCGGCGTACATCTATATCAAGATTAGTAGGTAATTTCAACCATATATTTAGATAGAACTTACATCGCAGCGGACATCTCCGCAGAGTAAAGCAATCGAGAATTCTTCTACGGCTGTAGTTTCGTGGGCATTATAAAATCTGCTTGGGCTTAGTGGTAGAACTGAATAAAATGAGGAGAGGGAACTTACTGCTTGGCCTGCATAATATGATAGTACGAGAGCCATTTGAGCTCATGATGACCCTTATTTACAGATGTAGGATGCAGACTGATGGATTGATTATTGGCGCAATTGCGAAATCCCCTACCATCCCGGACAAGAAGCTTTGGATAGAAGCTCCAACCAATGACAGAAGAGACAATGATATCGTTATCACTGTTTGCATTGATTCTGAAGGGTATTTCGAAAAATTGTCGACGGCGGCTCGAGTAACGTGTTCTGCATTAATTAGACCATATTGAGGAAACAAATACAGTCAACATACCTATTCAGAGCACTTCTCTCCGCCTCTGTAAGAGGGAGAAACCCAGAATCCACAAGACAAACCACCAATTGTCCTTTCAAGTCCTCAATATTCGATAAACTTTGCTGGCTAAGGAAGTTTTTGCGACAGAATTGATACTCGGAGCCATTTGCCATGCAAACTTTCTTCCAAGCTAGGTAGGCGTTATAAACTGTCAAAAGATCCGAATCGCCTTTTCTAAAGGCAAGTCTGACAGTATCCGCTTGTTGTCGTTGTCCAAAAGGAGCAGAGAATGGCGATTTAGAAGATAGGATTGCAGCTATTGTTACTGCTGCATCGAGACATTTGAAAACACTACCAAGGAGCATAAGTTTTCCCAAGAAAACATCGAGTGGTAACCTCGCCAATTGGAGACCCAGCGGCGTTAAATCTTCTCCTGCTGTCAAGGCTCTAACATCTACAAGTGCGTCAATGGCACGTCTGATGTTCTTAGCAGACGGAGGATCCAATGCTTCACTCAACGTCTCCTCGATACCACCTAACTTACAAATCTTGACTCGAATGGCAAGATCTTGAAGGGATAAACGGAGGAATTCTGGGGTTTGCTGATCAGCCAGAATTTCGTCGTGTCTATATTTAGTGAAAAGATGAAAGCAAAGTCCCTCTTGTACTCTTCCAGCTCTACCTCTTCTTTGTTTGGCATTTGCCTTGCTAATGAAGGTTTCCAATAGACGAGAGAGCTGTCTCCTCTCATCGAATCTCATCTCGCGATGCTTTCCTGTATCAATTACACAAGTGACATCAGGAATAGTGATACCAGTTTCAGCAATGTTGGTGGCTAAAACGATTTTTCTGATTCCAGGTGGCGGCACGAGGAAGGCAGCTTCTTGATCCTCACTTGCGATGGTGGAGTGTAACGGGTATATATACCAGTCCGACGAGAATGCCGGGTGTCCACAAAGCATATCATTTAAGGTTCGAATCTCAGCAATACCTGGAAGAAATACAAGGATGGCCTTTAAGTAGTTAGCATGATTCAAAGTGACACTCAAGGGTCTGAGGCTGGATGTGATCTTTGGTGCAATACCAGAATATCTGGTTCGCATCAATGGATGCAGATCGGAGCATTGATATGGACAGAACTTACTTTACTATACGGCGCCAATCGGTCATCAGCAGCGATCTTTGCGATTAATTGAGTTACCAGATCAAATTCTATCCGGTACTCATCGAATTGTGCAATAGTGTTTCGAGTTTTGTTGCTATATCCTCGTAGAGCCTTCGTACTTTCACTCTTCGTTGTCTCACTAGAGACGTCATCTGCGAGCTCGACATCGTCATCAAGGTCAGTATACTTTTCTTGCAGACCATTATCTAGAGAAAATCCTGTAAGCTCAACAGCGTCTTCTAGATATTTGACCTGAACTGGGAATGTACGGCCTGGAACGTTCAAGACGGGAGCGCCATCTAGATATTTTGAAAAGCGATCGGCATCGACTGTTGCAGACATTAGAACAACTTTCAGATCCGGTCTCCGCACCAATAGTTTTCGAAGGACAATAAGTAAGAAATCACTGTCTATTGTGCGCTCATGAACTTCATCAAGGACAATATGCGTAATATCTCTAAGGTCATTTGAGCCCTCGAGCATTCGCATCACAATTCCGGTAGTAGCGTATATAAGTCGAGTCTCTTTTGATGTATTAGACTCGAGTCTGATGGCATAACCTACCAGTGAGCGAGGAGTGCCAAGATCGCTCTTGCGTTCGCCCAGCTCTTCACTCACACGGCGAGCAAGAGAGATTGCAGAGATACGTCTAGGCTCCGTGCAATAAATTTTGCAAGGCTTTCCTCTGGACAATTGGTGCTCCAGAATAAATGCTGGGACTTGCGTACTCTTTCCACATCCAGTCTCACCACAAACAATAACTACTTGTGAGCGATCTATAGCACCGAGTACCTCCTCTTTGAATGACCACATAGGCAGCTGCATTCGTGACTGAAGCATATGTTGATAACTGTGCGACGAGGATTTTTCAGCCCATATTCTCTGATATGCCTCGGGAGCAAATCCTGTCTTGGGACCTTTGTCTATGGAAGTTTCCTCGTTACCAGGCGTCCTGGCCGCTCCACGATTTCGGAAAGCGCCATGTATCAAAACACCATCTTCTAATTCTTGATCTCTTTTTGCGCGAACCAAATCACGGAACGTCTTGATAGCATTTCGATCTTCTTCGTCCGACTTTTCCTTCTTAATCTCGGCAAATTCGGTCCAAAGATCACGCCATGCCGCTGGTAAACGTAGAGAAACTTTGTCTTCTTTTGCTGACGACCCAAAAATAAGAAATAATGCAGTTGTAGCAATATACGCTTCAGATTGGCGGGAGTCGGGGGTGGATACAGAGACCATAGTAAAACTTTGTAATTTCGGACTTGAGGCATATTCGACCTGTGGGAGGGGTGTAGTTGCAAGTGGATCTTGTGATTTTGACCAGGTGATTCGGAGGTTGTGACGATTAGAGTAACTGGTATCAGAAATGAGAGTGTAAGCTAATCTCACTGAAGAGTCCCTATTATCCTTTGGTAAGCGTGGTTCATTCCTAGTAATTTTTGTGCCCCTTACCTTGCTCGACAGGCTTCTTCAAGCACTCTAGTTGGGTTGACGCCTGACCATTTTCCAAAATCTCGAACAGTAACCTTCGTCCCATCCTTACCATTAATCACCGTACTGCTTTTGCCAGTCAACGGATCCACTTCGTTGACAGGCAAGCTAGCAAATAGATCAGCTAGCGCAGCATCGTCGTCGCTACCAGTTTCTTCTAGCATGGCTTTGCCAATCGCAGCTGCTTCTCTGCTAATTTCGTCATCAGAATCCACTGAAATGTCAGACTCTTGTGCTTCCTTATCTGCAGCCAATTCAGAAGCGCGCAAGGTAGCTGCATCTCTCTCTAGCTTTATTCTTTGTTCGTTCCACTGTAGTTCTGCAGGGTATTTGTCAAACAAGACATCGTCCTCTATTTTCTTAAGCTTTCTTGCTAACCTCGCTGACTCTATATCAACGGGACTTCCATTGTTCTGTGACTTCGGAGCACCCCTTTTGCCATTTGAACGTGTATCAGTGGTAGACTTCGAGTTTTGGAGTATGAACATTTTTTCTTTAGTTTTCAGATATACTGGGAGGAGATCTTCCGGGTCAATATCGCTGTCATAATCTACTATGGCTACTTTCTTGTTTTCTTGCTTCTTTCCATTTCGAGGGGTATTTCCTCCATTTTGAATTGATGCAAAATGCCTCGTATCTGAGTCGATTCTTGGTGTAGTAGTTCCCGAGGCCATAGGGCTGTCAAACGGTGTACCTGGAAGACAATTTATTAATTCTAGTAAACAAAAAACCATTCTGGATATACATACCATTTTGAGACTTTTGCGAAGACGCCAATCTGCGGTGTGCATTCTGGTAATCAGGCAATTCTTCCCTTGAACATTCACGGGAAAGCCACTCCAGCGATTCTTCCATGCCCCAGATTGAATCCTTGTTGCTACTGCCAATCTTATCCGAAATATCCAAAACATGTTGGAGCGCCAATAATACTTTGTCTGTTACAAAGCCAGCCCCTACGAGAGCTTGTTGTAAAGTCCAAAGTCGAATTGCAAGCTCCTCCTCTGATACCTGCTTTAACGAAGTTGTATCTGCTGCTGAACCGGAAAATCGCCCTTCCATTTTGATTAAATCCAAGATCTCTTCCATAAGCTCAGGGGGTAACCATTTCCTCGTGTTAAGAGTTTCTGATTGGCCTCGTAGCACTCTGCGATCGGTTTCTAATCGGGTCTTTTGACGAAGCGCATCTCTCTTTGACTTCTGCGAATGTTTCTCGACGAGTATTTGAAGCTCGGAATTCTCGAGTTGCTTTTCGAACTCTTCGGGAGTCAAATTAGAATCCTGATTTGAAGATCCATTCCCTACGACTTCACCAGCCTTTTCCCCCAATTGTTGACTCTCAGTTGTGTCGATAGCGTCATCTGCTACATCCTTTTCCTTGACAGCTTCGATAGCTTCATTTTTGGGCTTCGAGGCAATCGAGGTGGTAGCAAATCCTCTGGCAGGATTTGTAGCTGGCTTCTTCTTTTTCTTGCCACCGGCCATCTTCTAGATATGTTTCGATAATTGGCGATTAAATTTGTTGGTTCGATGTAAATGTCAAAGTACCTAAAACAATGCAGCCTCGTAACGCCAAATATTAATGCCAAACGCGGGGCCGATTTATAGTGGGGGTCAGTATTTCTTTACTGTATTCTGTTGCTCTGTACGGTGGAATCGCTAGGGTCGTCATTTCTCTCCAACTTTTTTTCTCGGAGGCCGCGATAACATTAATCCAGTCAGTCAGTTCAGTTCACCCCTCGAGAATTGCACACAGATACTAAGTGTAAACAATTATACGAGCAGTTCGCAGAGTACACTATTGAGATACTTGAGAAGATACTTGAAAAGACCATTAGGTCATGAGAGATCTTGAAGGTATACAATATGTCTGAGGTGGAGATTAATGGTCATAATGAGGGGGTGGATTTGGACCTTACTCTTACAAAGGCCGCGCTCACTTCCTCTTCAACAAATCTACGATTGGGACAGTTGAAATTGATCGAGGAAAGACTTTCAAAGAAAGGTACGCAAATGCACAAAATGTCGAATCGAACAATGCCCTTACTTTTGCTTACCTGCTAATAATGCTTTGTTTATAGAGCTCGATCCAAAACTTTTCCCCGTTCTTCTTCAACTTCTATTTTCCACATATCCATATTACCACGACAGAGATTCGCGACTTGCTGTCCAGTTGTGCATACGGCATATATTTGATTTTGATTGCGCTTTTGAGTTTCTGTCAAGTTTTTTAAATGCATTAGATGCCGAAACTAAGAAGGGAGGGCTGGCACCAAGCAATGCGTTTGTTTTGGTCGAATATTGTAGTGCGATCTTACAAGTAACCACTAATGAAGCCAGATGGAAGAGCTGGGGCTTAGTCGTCGTGGCTGGTAATGCGCGGGCACTTGAACTATGCATCACATCGAAACATAGGCCGTCTGCACTCAAGACTACATGGCGGGGTTTGCGGAATGTTTTTCAAAGCGCTATATTCGAAACTGCAATCGGGGACAGTGTGCAGAAATTGAGTTCCAAAGAAGCTCAGCCCTCCTCCAAGAATGCTGTGATGCTAGGTGCAATCTCAGGAGTATGCGCCAGGAAACCGCAAGCAAAGGTGGTTCTAGAAAGCAAGAAGTCTTTAATTTACGGTTATTATACGCGCGAGATCATAGCCTCTAGGACTCCACTGCCTTCACATATTGCCAGTGCTTTGAAAGACTTTTTCTTAGACTTTGCCACCCAGGAAGATTTCGAGCGAGAAATTGTACCATCCCTCGAGAAAGCGCTACTAAGGGCTCCTGAGATTGTACTAAACGACCTTGTCACACCACTCTTCCAGTCTCTACCTAGCTCAGTAGATCTCTCAAACGTTCTCCGATCCAAGCTTTTAAAACCTATCCTATCTAATATCAAGTCGACCAATCCCACAATTCGTCAAGGAGCACTTTCTGCATTCAGAGCAATTGTACCCAAATGTCATGATGAAACCTCTATTGCTCAAGTGTCAGAAGAAATATTGACACCATTAAAAGGGGGTAAAGTATCTGCAGCAGATCAGAGGGCCAACTATGCAGAAATGCTAGCAATATTACCCGTCTCCAAGTCGAATGCTTCGGCAGCTATCGGCCTTGCGACAATTGCGGGAAAGGAAGCCAACGAAGCCGCATTGTTAGCAGAGACATTTGCTTTGTTACATTACTTGAAGAATAGAGTGCAGAACGAATCTCCCCTGGATAAATCCATCGTTAACACCTTCACAAAAGGTATATCCGATAAAAAGGTCCCCGCCAAGAAACTATGGACGATCCGCCTCGGAGAATTGCTATGGGATACCGAAGAAGCTGAGTTATCTGAATCAAAGGCTTTGGCAGAAGAGACTATCACAGCATTGGTAGATATTTGGCAAGAAGTAACGGCGAATTCCATACCTGCAGCTCAGTCTGGCCTTGTCACTGCAGCTTATGTTCTTGCTGCAATCTCACAGACAAAATTAGGTGCTATTTCGGGTCCAAAGATTGACGCAGCGCTCAAAAAGGCTCAAGTCTCGCATCAATCACTACTCATGGAGCCCAAGCCATCATTCTTACTAAATCCTCGTATCTATAGCAAACTTTCTAGCTACGATGATTTCATGTGGTTTGTTAGAGCCTTGTTTGCCTTTCCGGATCAGCTTGCTTCTCTGGACCCGGCATCCCTATCAGGTATTGGTTGGTCTCAAGCTGTCATATTTTCTATATGCTCTCCTAATGTACATCATGATGTCAGAAGACATGCTTCTCATTTACTTTCCCAGCTATATGTTCGCTTTCCTGGCAATATATCCAAAATCATCACATCTGGTTTGTGGAGATGGTTACAATCTATTGAGCTTGGAGAAAAAGACAGTGCTCCAATATCGGCAAAAACGGAAAATGAGAATCTGCACTTAGTATTGAAAGCTATCTGTTTGACACCAGCGGAAATCACACGGCGGGGTGGTTCTGTGGATCAGATGGTAGTTAAGGATCAAATGATATCACTGTTGATTATCTGTCGACCAGAACTGCTGCCAAGAGTAAGCTGGATCGAGCTATGCCTGAAGGCTGAGGTTGATCCTGGAAATCTTGCTAGAGAAAGTGGAGACGCTTTGTTAAAGCAAATTCTCGATATCACAAGCATTCAAGATTCTGCCGCAGTACCACGATCCAAGGCTGTTAAAGATGCTGCCTATAATGCCGCTGCTGAGCTTGCTTTCGTCGCTCCAGAAGTTATGACAGTACGAATTGTTGAACTAGTAGAGCAAGACCTAGACGCGACTGAGCTCGCCAATGTCGGTCCAACGGAGGCGGCAATCTTCCGCACTCCAGAGGGAACTGCCTTTGTAGACGTGTTAGCATCTAAAGCTCAAAGTCATACCCCGAACAAGAACACGAAGGATTACGATACTTTAAAATGGGAGGAAGATCTCCGAGCCTCATTAGCGAAGAAAAAGGGTCAGCAGAAGAAGCTCACTCCAGAGGAAACAGCCAAAGTTAAGGCTCAGTTATCGAAAGAATCAGAAATTAGACGCCAGATTCAAGCTCTAGAGTCAAGAGTTCTTCGTGGAGTTGGAATCATCAAAAGTCTTGCAACAGGACCTCCAACAGAAGCTTCTCTGTGGATGGGACCTGCCGTGAGAGCTTTGGTAAAGGTAATCAATGCTGGAGCTGGATTGATTACTGGTACAGCTGCTCCAGATGCTTATATCCTTTGTGCCGAAAGAGTTTCTAGTCGTATAGGTATACTCCGTTCGTTTATTGGATTAGCAACGCTCAGAGCTATGAATGTTCCGCAGTTGCCACCGGCCTTAACTCAAGAACCACTTGGAGCTCTTATCACACGTGTATTGTACCGCCTAAGATTCTCTGCAGAACAACGCCCATTTGATACAGTCTCTCTCATCTATGTTCTCCCTCTCGTCTTCCTAGTACTTCGAGATGGTGGGTTTGGAGAAAGCGATGATGCTGATGCCCAACTTGTTCTCGCCCTGGAATTCCTTTCTTTTCATACTGATGCCTGTTCCGACGTTTTGGTACCTCGGGACCAAGTTCTCTCCACTCTAATTTCGTCGATGCAGACCTACAATCAGCATTACAAGGCAATCAAAGATTGCTTGACAGATCTGTGCAGATGTATTGCACCAAACATTACTGATAATGAGATCTCAATTCTTGCACAAGGAGCCATTGTTCCACAAGTTGCTGTACGAACCTCGGTATTACAGTCAATTAGTTCAGAGATTGATATGAGTGAGCTCGATTTTTCCAATGAAATCTGGTTAGCATGCCATGACGATGTAGACGAGAATGTTGAGCTTGGGCGAGAAATCTGGGAGGAAAGTGAGTTCAAAATATCTACCGAATCACCATTCCGAATGCTACCATATCTGGAAAGCATGGATAAGCAACTTCGACGAGCTGCGGCTAGATCTATCGCCGAGGCTGTAAAATTGCAGCCTTCAACGTTCAAGGATGTGCTTAGCCGTCTGCAATCCTCTTATACCGAGTTGGCAAAGCCTCGAGTTCCTCAGCTTGATGAGTACGGTATGCCCAGGAAGATGGATCTGTCGGATCCATGGGAAGCCCGAAATGGAATTGCACTTGCATTCAGAGAATTAGCCACAGTCTTTGACGAATCACTCCTTACTCCATTCCTCAACTTCTTGATTGAAGGGCCACTTGGCGACAGGAACTCAATTGTCAGAGAAGAAATGGTTGAGTCTGCCACAGCTATAATAGCTATTCATGGAAAGGACAAAGTGGAAGAATTGATGAAAACTTTTGAACGCACTCTTGAGACACCGGACAAAGGTTCCGAGTTTTCCGATAGAGTAAACGAGGCTGTTATCATCATGTATGGTGCCTTGGCGCAACACTTGAAAGCCGGCGATGAACGTGTTCCGAAGGTTGTAGACAGGCTTCTAGAGACATTAAGCACCCCATCTGAGACGGTACAATATGCCGTGGCTGAGTGCTTGCCACCACTCGTTCGTGCATCCAAGGAGAACACTTTGGACTACATCCAATTAGTTCTCGACAGACTGTTCAACTCGAAGAAATACGCCGGTCGACGTGGCGCAGCATATGGTCTTGCAGGTCTTGTCAATGGAAAGGGAATCTCCGCTTTACGAGAATACAGAATCATGCTTACACTGAAAGGTGCGATCGACAATAAAAAGGACGTCAATCATCGAGAAGGAGCTCTATTGGCTTATGAACTTCTTTCCATGATTCTCGGTCGCATATTTGAGCCTTACGTCATTCAAATTGTGCCTCAACTGCTCTCGAGCTTCGGCGACTCAAGCGCAGATGTTCGTGAAGGTTGTTTGGCAGCAGCAAAAGTGTGTTTTGCAAGCTTGAGCTCTTATGGAGTGAAACAAATTTTGCCAACACTACTTGATGGTCTTGATGACGACCAATGGCGAAGTAAAAAGGGTGCTTGTGATCTCCTAGGTGCAATGGCGTATCTTGACCCGCAACAACTTGCCCAGAGTCTTCCGGAGATTATTCCACCCCTGACGGGTGTATTGAATGACAGTCACAAAGAGGTCCGTCTTGCTGCTAATCGCAGTTTGAAGCGCTTCGGAGAAGTTATCAATAACCCTGAGATCAAGAGCCTTGTCGATGTCCTTCTCAAGGCTCTCAGTGATCCTACCAAGTACACGGACAATGCATTGGACTCACTCATTAAGGTGTCTTTCGTTCATTATCTTGACGCACCTTCGCTTGCTCTCGTTGTTCGTATTCTTGAGAGAGGTTTGGGTGATAGATCGGCAACCAAACGAAAGTCTGCCCAGGTTATCGGTAGTCTTGCTCATTTGACAGAGAGAAAGGATCTCGTATCACATCTCCCGATTTTAGTTGCTGGTTTGAAGATTGCAATTGTTGACCCCGTGCCAACTACTCGTGCAACTGCATCAAAAGCTCTGGGTTCTCTCATCGAGAAATTGGGAGAAGACGCTCTTCCGGATCTTATTCCAGGTCTCATGCAAACACTCAAATCAGATACTGGAGCCGGTGACCGACTGGGATCTGCACAAGCACTCAGTGAAGTTCTTGCTGGATTGGGTACAAGCCGCCTCGAGGATACTCTTCCAACAATTCTTCAAAATGTTGCTTCATCCAAACCTTCCGTTCGGGAAGGCTTCATGTCGCTCTTCATATTCTTGCCCGTATGTTTCGGAAACAGTTTCGCCAATTACCTTAGTAAGATTATTCCACCTATTCTCTCTGGTCTGGCGGATGACGTTGAATCGATTCGTGACACGTCTTTGAGAGCTGGACGTCTTCTTGTCAAGAATTTCGCCACGAGAGCTATTGATCTTTTGCTTCCAGAATTGGAGCGAGGTTTGGCAGACGACAATTACAGAATTCGTCTCAGTTCCGTCGAGCTGGTTGGTGATCTGTTGTTCAACCTTACTGGTATTAGTGCGAATACAGAACAGGATGAGGTCGAAGAAGGTGCGCAAGAAGCTGGTGCATCGTTACTCGAGGTACTTGGTGAGGAGAAGCGCAACAAGGTATTGTCCTCGTTGTACATTTGCCGATGCGATACTTCTGGCTTGGTGCGAACAGCTGCTGTCAATGTTTGGAAAGCTCTTGTCGCGAGTCCAAGAACGCTTAAGGAGCTCATTCCTACGCTCACTCAACTCATTATTCGACGATTGGGAAGCTCCAACATGGAGCAGAAGGTTATTGCAGGTAATGCACTTGGTGAATTGATTCGCAAAGCAGGTGATGGAGTTCTCTCAACTTTATTGCCCACCTTGGAGGATGGTTTGCAAAATTCTACAGATACAGATGCTAAGCAAGGAATATGTATTGCACTTCGTGAATTGATTTCATCAGCCTCCCCAGAGGCTTTGGAAGATCATGAGAAGACATTGATCTCTGTTGTCAGAGTTGCTTTGATAGACTCGGATGACGAAGTCCGAGAAGCAGCAGCTGAAGCCTTCGATTCGCTACAGCAAATTCTCGGCAAGAAGGCTGTCGACCAGGTCTTGCCATATCTCTTAAGCTTACTCCGCACAGAAAGCGAGGCTGATAATGCCTTATCTGCACTCCTGACCTTGTTGACTGAAACGACAAGATCAAATATCATTCTTCCAAATCTCATACCAACGCTTACCACCTCGCCTATATCTTCATTCAATGCCAGGGCACTTGCCTCGCTTTCAACCGTTGCAGGACCGGCGATGGCAAGAAGATTACCTACTATATTGAATTCTTTGATGGATAACATCATTTCTTCCAAGGATGAGGATCTCAAGTCAGAGCTCGAGACATCCTTTGACACGGTTGTTCAGTCCATCGACGAGTTCGATGGCCTCAATGTGGCTATGAATGTTCTTCTTGCATTAGTGAAGCACGATGATCATCGCAGAAGAGCAAACGTGGACTATCGCCTTGCCAAGTTCTTTGCCGCAGCTACAGTTGACTACTCTCGTTACAACCAAGATATCGTACGCGCTTTACTCGTTTCATTCGACGATGGAGACGCGGAAGTTGTCAAGGCCGCCTGGACTGCACTTTCCGAATTCACCAAACACTTGAGGAAGGAAGAAATGGAAACACTCATTTATTCGACAAGACAGACTTTACAACACGTTGGTGTACCTGGATCCAACTTACCTGGCTTTGGATTGCCCAAGGGTATCAACGCCATTTTACCTATCTTCTTACATGGTCTTATGAATGGTACTGCCGAACAACGTACACAATCTGCCTTAGCTATATCCGACATTGTTGACCGAACAAGTGGGGATTCTTTGAAGCCATTTGTTACTCAGATCACTGGTCCGCTTATCCGTGTGGTTTCGGAAAAGTCTGTCGACGTTAAAGCTGCCATTCTTCTAACTTTGAACAATTTGTTGGAGAAGATCCCGACGTTCTTGAAACCCTTCCTTCCACAATTGCAACGTACATTTGCCAAGTCTTTGGCCGACACATCGAGCGAAGTTCTTAGAACTCGTGCTGCCAAAGCTTTGGGTACTTTGATCACCTTGACTCCAAGAATTGATCCTTTGATCGCCGAGCTAGTTACAGGTTCAAGGACTTCGGACTCCGGAGTTAGAAATGCCATGCTCAAAGCATTATATGAAGTAATCAGCAAAGCTGGTGCTAACATGGGAGAGGCTTCGCGCAGCGCAGTACTCGGGTTGATCGATACTGACGCAGAGGATAATGATGTGTCTATGGCTATCACTAATGCCAAGCTTCTCGCAGCATTGATCAAAAATCTAACCCCCGAAAACGCTTCAGGGCTAATCAAGAATCGTGTGGTGACAAATCACTTTACTCCATCTACAGTTCTCGCGTTAAATGCTGTCCTTGCCGAAGCACCATCCGCATTGACGGAAACTGCCTTTGCTAATGACTTACCGGAAGTCATTTGCCAAGGCATGGCAAGCAAAAATGTAAGTGACATCGTATCAGCTTTTAGGGTCAAAGACTAACCATTTCTCAGGACTTCATATCAGAAAACTGTATCCTCGCCGCTGGAAAATACCTTCTTGCTGAGACCGCCAACCATGAATTCGAAACGACAAAACCAATATTTGAATCATTAGCAAAGTTGATACAACCAGGAAACACGGCCGATGCTCGTCGTCTATCGCTTGTAGTAATTCGCACAATCTGTCGCCACCAAACAGACGCAGTTCGACCACATCTTTCCTTACTCGCCACACCTGTATTTGCAGGTGTTCGAGATCCTATCATCCCCATTAAGCTAGCAGCAGAAGCAGCGTTCCTCGCATTGTTCAATGTTGTTGAAGAGGAAAGCAAGGTATTTGATAAATATATCGCTGCTCAAGAACTGGCACCGAATCAAAAGAGAAGCATGCAGGATTACTTTAAGCGGGTTGCATTGAGGTTAGGCAACACAGCACGAGAGAGGAGAGAAGCCGAAGGTGGACAGGGTGGACTGGGTCTTTCTAATGACGAGGTTGATGATGAAAAGGAGATCTCAAGTATTGGAAAGGTGGATTTGGGCGAAAAGGCTTTTGATGCATAAGGAAATGAGGTTACGATTTGATGTGATGATTAAATTCAGCATAAGAAAAGCATTTGCATTGCCAGTAAAAATCATTAGATATGAATTTCAATTCGAATCGCTTGTATATTTCAGGTTTCTTTGATCACATCGATCAACTAATTCAATCATTTTAACATCGAGTATTTTCCAACGACCTTGCGATTTATTAAAAAAAAAAAAAAAAAAAAAAAAAAAAAAAAAAAAAAAGGAAGAATTAAAGCGAAACACCAAACATCGTAACAGTTATCTGATTGCCAAGGTTGCTTGTGAATATATTGGCGATCTTTGATTATCGAATGAGTGAATCTAATAAATGGTTCTGTTCGTTTTGTTTTTGGTGTTGAATTGACTTTCCCTTGGGCCGCTCCGCGAATCCGAAAACAAATTTGAAGTATGATGACTAATCCTAGGATGGATTGACATGCTTCACGTGATTTATGAATCTGCAGAAAACTTCAATTGAACAATTGAACAAGACAACCAATTGTTTCCTCCTTTGTACATTCACCTGGCTCCAAACTTAATAAATGAATCTCAAAACTTCAATTCTTTTTGCAATTCTTAAAGGGTTTTTCGTTTTTGATCAAATTTCTTAGATTGTGGGTAGGGGACAGCCCTAGATTTTTCTTGATTAGTCACTAGTGGAAACTCTAGCGAGGGAAATCTTGACCACGCATTGAATCTTGAACATCGAGCGCCATCGACAAACGACAATATCGACGACCACCACCGACGACCACGAATTCAGTCAAGATGTAAGCCCACGCTGTTGCTAGATATTCTCATTCCATTCAATCGATCATTTCTGTTTGATTCGATACATTGCGAGCCTTTTTGGAGCGATACCAACAACATGTCTTTGAGAACATCGAAAGCATCAAAAGCTGACTCTTTTTTCTTACGATAGGGTCAACCTTACAACTCAGAAACGTCTGGCGGCTTCCGTCGTCGGCTGCGGAAAGCGCAAGATTTGGCTCGACCCCAACGAGACCAGCGAAATCTCCAACGCCAACTCCCGTCAAACCATCCGCAAACTCGTTTCCGATGGCCTCATCATCCGCAAGCCAGTCACCATGCACTCCCGCGCACGCGCTCGTGAACTCACCGCTGCACGAAGAATTGGTAGACACCGTGGTTTCGGTAAGAGAAAGGGTACCGCAGATGCCCGTATGCCAAGGTACGACATTCGCCACTCCGAGAAAATTATCAGGAAATACATACATTATTCATGATAGATTATGGAAGAGGAATGATGGGCTAATATTTATTTAGCCAAGTTGTCTGGATGCGTCGTCTTAGAGTCCTCAGACGTCTCTTAGTCAAGTACCGTGCCAGCGGCAAGATCGACAAACACCTTTACCACGAGCTTTACCACTTGAGCAAGGGTAACACTTTCAAGCACAAGCGTGCATTGGTCGAACACGTAAGTAGCATATTGGCTCTTGCTTGCTAATCGAAACCATCAAACTGACAGAATATAATAGATTCACAGAGCTAAGGCCGAGAAGGCACGTGAAAGACTCCTCAAGGAGGAGATGGACGCCAAGCGTGCGAAGACCAAGGCTGCCCGCGAGAGAAAGGCAGAGAGAAACCAAGCCAAGAAGGCAGCTCAATTCGGCGAGGCAGAGGAGACCGAGACAAAGTAAATGGTTGGGCTTTTGTGGTGGTAGCATATGGAGTGTATCTGGCAAGGTTTATAATACAGGCCGGTTGCTTTCGATATCTTTTGATATCCTGCATTATCGCACGGGCAATGGTATCATGATCTTTCACTCAAGATTCTTTGGTGTTCAATGGTTTTTTGCAATCAGACGGTTCAAACGTGTAAACGATACCTACTTTTCTCCATATCATGATTACCTTGGTGATAACTCCATTTCGTCCTACACAATCTCAAGTTTTTGGTTCAAATTGTGGTGTATGTTTTTTGAGTCCAATTTTCCATTTCCTCCCATTTCCTTGAGTTATTCAACTTGCATTTCAACGCCCCTGACCCTCACATCCCCAGATTGTCTTTGTATCCGCTCCCATTCTATAATCTGCCAACACCCATCATCCACTATTTTGTTCGAGCGTACATACATACATGATATGCCGATAAGAAATCCATCAACTACGTCACCAATTTCGAAATCCTCCCCTCTGATGTGTCTCCATGATTGACTGTGAACTGGATGTAAAGATGTGAGAAATGATATCAATGGTGACAACGCAATTACCTCTCACGATACCAAGGAGTGTAATGATTCATCGACCAATTGCACGATCCCGTCATTATTGAAACTCTGTTCTGCGCTCATAGCAGAAGTTGTAGCTTTGGAAAATATCAATGATGGCGCCTATTCCTTCACTTCGTTTTATCTCATTCAATTCATCATATCATTTTATCACATCATTTCAAATAAATTGTTATCAGAAAATAAATGAAGATTGAGGGGAGAGATCGGCATATCTTGAGTTCCGATACTCAACCGGATAAGGTGCTAGCTTATTCCCGATGGCGGGGATCTGGAACTGGAAATCACTTGAGTGCATATTGACAAACAAAGCTCTACTTTTCGGTGCAAGCAATTGCTTATAGTCTAGCCGTATGTTTTTCATTCTCAGCCCTTGAAAAGCTGGAGTCTCTAACTCAAATACAGGAAATCATGTCGCTCTTTAAAGGAGCCTCAAGAATTGCGTTCAGGGCTAATACTGCGCAAAGAGCAGCAGCTTCAATATGCGGCGCGAGACGAGCGGCGAGTAGTAGTCGAATGACTATGGAAAGTCAACAAAAGGTTTGCTACCTGTCCATTGGATTCACAAGTAGCAAAGAGCTGATTCGATTCGTGATAGCTACTTTCAGCAAACCTTGAACATGCAGATCCAGCAGTCTTCAGCATTCTCCAAAATGTACGACTTCCCTCGCCAGACCCCTCGATTGATGATATGTAAAGACTAAAGCATTATGAATAGGAAAAACGGAGGCAGAAGCACTTTATCAACCTTATTCCTTCCGAAAATTTCACATCACAAGCTGTTTTAGATGCATTGGGAAGTGTTATGCAAAGTACGTTTGGAGTTCGATGGTGGAATGAGTCAATGTTGACTTTCTGGCAGACAAATATTCCGAAGGATATCCAGGAGCAAGATATTATGGAGGAAATGAGTTCATCGACGAATCTGAAAGATTATGCCAAAGTCGTGCTCTACAGACTTTTGGGTTGAAAGAGTCAGAATGGGGTGTCAATGTTCAACGTATGTCTTTCATTTGATATGGGAAATCCTCACTCACAATCTATCCAGCACTGTCCGGCTCTCCCGCAAATCTCTACGCATATTCCGCTCTCGCAAATACACATGACAGAATAATGGGATTGGATTTACCTCACGGTGGTCATCTTTCTCATGGATATCAAACTCCTACCAAAAAAATCTCCGCTATCTCAAAATACTTTGAAACTTTACCATATCGATTGGATGAAAGTACAGGACTTATCGACTACGCTAAATTGGAGGAAATCGCTACATTATACAGACCAAAGATTATTGTTGCCGGTACATCAGCGTACAGTAGACTCATTGAGTATGAGCGTATGCGTGAAATTGCCGACAAGGTTGGAGCATATCTATTAGCTGATATGGCACATATTTCTGGTCTTGTTGCCGCGAAAGTTATTCCAAGTCCTTTTGAATACGCGGATGTCGTCACAACTACTACACACAAATCACTCAGAGGTCCTCGAGGTGCTATGATTTTCTTCCGAAGAGGAGTTAGAAGAGTTAATCCAAAGACCAAAGAAGAAGAGATGTGGAACCTTGAAGATCCTATTAATGCATCAGTATTTCCAGGACATCAAGGAGGTCCTCATAACCATACTATCACTGCATTGGCAGTTGCATTAAAACAAGCACAAAGTGTTGAATTTAGAGCTTACCAAGAAGCAGTTTTACTGAATGCAAAGGCATTTGCAAAGCGTCTGGGTGACTCGAAAGATAAAGGAGGTCTCGGTTACTCCATCGTCTCTGGAGGTACAGATAATCATCTTGTACTCATTGACTTAAAACCTCAAGGAGTTGACGGTGCTCGAGTTGAACGTGTTCTTGAACTTGTTGGAGTAGCATCCAATAAGAATACAGTTCCAGGTGATAAATCCGCCCTTAAACCTGGTGGATTAAGAATGGGTACACCAGCAATGACAACTCGTGGTTTCCAACCTGAAGATTTCGTACGGGTTGCCGATGTTGTAAATAGGGCTGTTACCATAACTCAGCGGTTAGATAAAAGTGCAAGGGAAGCAGCAGAGGCAAAGGGAAGAAAGAATCCTGGTAGTGTAAAAGCTTTCTTGGAGTATCTTGGCGAGGGCGAGAATGAGAGAGAGATTGTACAATTGAGAAGTGAGGTTGAGGAATGGGTTGGTACTTTCTCTCTACCATGGGAGGAGAGTAGTTAAGAAGAGGAATGGAAGGGAGAAAATTCAACTTTAATGGGATATTCAGTAATCGTTTGGGGAAGATATTAGGATAGGTGCTGTGGTGGCTGGCATATTGTGAAAGATAATATTATGCATGGGTTTGGTTCTCAACTCCATACCATTTTCAAAAGTTGATATTGATCATAATGAGATTGTGAAAGTATGTTATGATAACATTCTTCCATCAGGTCTGATATTGATACCAGTGAAATGATTTTCATTTGATCTTCGAGAAACTCATATGCCATAGCATTCATGGCCATGAATTCTAGGTGGCATACATAGCTCGATTGATGCTTTTGTAGATACCTGTATGTACAAGTACAATACTAAGTCAAACTTCACAACTTTCCCTATACAATAAAACCATAAAGACATAGGTACACTTATTAGAATCACCTAGTATCTAGACAGACAACATTACAAGTATCAAGGGAAGAAGTAACAAATAAAATTATCATATAAAGCTTCCCCTCCTCTCATCCAATCCAACTCTCGCAATTTCCAAAACCCGTTGACGCTCGGACCACTTTCGCGAATGTTGAACCTGAACTACAGACAAGGCTCATAAGTATCGAGAACACTCAATCCATATACCAATTCAATTACCAACCCATACGCCGTGGAATCCCAATCGCATTCCAAATATGGCATCACAATCCGTGGCAAAGGTGGCTCAAGCCGCTAATCGTGTTATTCCCGTTCACAAGGTATTTACTTCTCTATCTCTTTAACCTCCATCCATCTCCTTCCCGGCACCTCAAGCCCCAATCTCAAATTTAACTTCAACTCTAACATTCCCTCCCAGAAACACACCCTCCAATCCACCGGTATCTGGGAAACCATCCGTCGCTTCCTCGCCGTCGATCCTACCCGCTCCAACGGCGTACCCCTCAACCCACAATTCCGCAATCCACCTCCAGGATCCAATGAACCTTTTTCCTTCATCGACCCTGTTACCCTCCCCGCGGGTGACATCGCCGAGAATCCATACTGGAAGCGCGATTCCCGTCGCTCGTATCCGCAGTTGAGTTTTGTGGCCCAGAGTGATGTGGTGGGTTTGTTGAGTGTAGGAAGTGAGGCTGCGCCGCGCAAGGAGCTGGTTGGGGATTCGGGAGTGAAGGAGTTGGTTAGGGTGGGGGAGGAGGGAAAGGGAGGGTTGGCAAAGTTTTTTGAGAGGGAGAGTGCGGGGGGTGCGTTGGAGATGCTTGGTAGAGGGGGATTGCCGCCTTTGCCTGCGAGTGTGAGTCCGAGTAAGAGGGTGGAGGGGGATAAGTATCATTTGACGGAGGAAAATGCGTATCCTGAGGAGTAAGTTTGGGTTTCTTTTTTTTCTTTTGGGGTCTGGGGGGGCTTCTGAGAAGGGTTCTGGATTGGGAATTGCAGGTGGAATGGAATGGAAATGGAAATGAGAGGATGATACTCATGACATGATATGATATAATACGATGTGACATGACCAGCTAACAAAAACCAGATACCCATGCCGAACTTTCAAATAAGTAAAGCAGAAGACAACGACAAGACAAGATGATAGGATGGCCAGAGAGGAAGAAAGAAGGAGCATGCAGGGAAGAAAACTTGTACATATACATCCATACATCCATACACAAAGTTACGAAATCGAGAGGAGAGGAGAGGAATCACATTACATACAAGATAAATGAGTTTACATCATGTTACATCATATGTATGTACGGACGCGTGTACGCAAGTATAAGTATATATCTATTTGTTTATTTACTCTTTATGTCTATGTATGTTTTTCTTGTTTGTTTGTTTGTTTCTGGGTGAAAGGAGAGAGAGAAATTTGGGGAGGGGGGTTGAGGGTAGATTGAGGAGTCTTGAATCTCGGGGGAGAACGTTGTGTCGTTTTAATATTCATTCTCATTTTCATTCCCATTTTCATTTTCGTCTCGGTCTCAGTCTCAGTCTCAGTCTAAATTTCGATTTCGATGTTATTGAAGCAGAGAAGTGATGATGGAGGGGAAGGGATCAAAAATGTAGGTAGGTAGGTACACAGGTATACAGGTAGTAGGTAGACAATAGATCTGAAATGTTCACACTTGATATGCCGTTCGCTTCAGAATCCATCTGTGAATCTTTATTCGAGATTTAGTTAGTTAAATGAAACGAAACGAAATGGAATGGAGGGTTTGGGTTGGGTTGTGAGTGTGAGTGTGAGTGTGAGTGTGAGTGTGTTTATGTATTTTGCTTATGTACTCGATTTGTGATTTCGATATTTATATTTATAAGTTATTTATTTATTTATTTATTTATTTATTTATCTATCTATTTATCTACCTACTCAATAGATTTATAGATTTATAGATTTGAGAACTCATGGAATTTACTACTTATTCTTTCTATTCTATCTTTTCAATTATTTTAGTTTATTAATAGAGTAAAGAGGGATATAAGATATAGAATATAGAATATAAGATATAAAAAGATTAGTAAATTGAAAGATCAAAAATAGAAGATTAATGAGTTTGATGAGTTTGAATAGTCTAAGAGTACGTTCGAATCGATTTTCGATTTATTTTAGAAGATCTCTAATAATATTACAATGATAAGGGTATTTAGACTAATATATTTAGGGTTCGTTCGAATCGATTTCTTATTTAATTAATGAAATCTTTAATAATAATAAAACGGTAAGGATAATTGAATTGTTGAAACTAATATATATTAAATATATTTGATTAAGGCTAATATATTTGAAATAATATTGAGATATGTGAGATTAAGTTAAAAATAAAAAAAACGATCTTTTTTTTTTAAATATATCTGTTTAATTATATTTCAAAAGCTATTATTAGTTTATTATATAAGAAAGGTTGAGAAAATTTGTTATATTTATTACTTTAAAATTATTAAACTCAATATTTTATTAGCTCAAATATTATATTCGCTTTAAAATATTTTAATTATATATTAAATTTAATATAGTTTAATATATATTGAACTCAATATTATATTCGGTAAACACTATATTAGGTCAATATATTAGTCTAATATCTAAAAACAAATCGATCCGAACGAGTTCCTAATATCTAATATCTAATATCTAATATCTAATATCTATCTTTATATAAATAAGAACTGTTAATAATGTAGCGATAATTCTTATATTTAGTATTAATCCAATATGATTTAATACTAACAAACAAGTTTAATTGGTAATATAATAATAATTCTTATATTCAACCTTAATCTATATTTTATTCTTTAAAGTAATACATATTAAAGAATATAAACTAATAGCTATTAGTTCGAGCTAAATATCATTTTCTACAAATAGATATAACTTTATTAGGTTTGGTAAAATTATATTTAAGTATTTTATTTTACCTCATTATCTATTTGCTATTTGTTAATATAGTAGAATCTTATAAAGATGACTTTATGGAGTATAAGACTAAATACAAGGATAACACTAATAGTATGGCAGAGTTCATTATATCATCAGTTATTATAACTAATAATTTTAATATAATAATTGAGAAATAGTAAAACAATTTAATTGATTTTATAAAACAAATAGATATAAAAGAGGTTAAAGATTTTTATAAATATAAATTTTATAAATATCAATAATCGAAATATTATAACGAAAAGTTATAATTAAACTATTTTTGCGAATTTGAATATTTCAATTTAAAATATTTTTAAGTAATTAGTATATATCTTTTATACAAACTGAAATATAAACTATACTTATATAGTATATTTATTATAAAGTATAAGATCTATACAATACAATCTATTTATAATATTTTAATTAATATAATTCAATTATTATATAGAAAATAATTAGATAAAGAGATTATAGATATATTTGTAAAAAGGGATTTATATTTCAATTGAAAAATATATAGAAAAGAATAAATAAAAAAGATATTCAAGCTTTTATATATATATTATTAAAAGAATCCGAGATATTTCAAATAAATAATTAATCTGAACTATCAGGTTTTAATTAATATAAGCTATTATAATTATCAAATATTCTATTTTAGATTATAATAATCTTAGAATTTAGTTTTTTTTAAAAAAAAAAAAATATTGATATTGAATAAAAAGCATTATTAAAATCATTAATATCTTATTATTCTAAATCTATTCTCCAATCTAATATCGGATTTCTATAAAAAAAGAATAAATCCAATTTATTTATATATTTATTTTATAAATAAAAAAAATTATTATCTTTATAATCAATTTTATATAAATAATTTCAATCCGAAATATCTTTTTAATAATCTAAACCTTTATTATTACAATTATATTTATTATTACAAAAAAAAGATAATCAACCATCCAGTAATCTATTTAATAATAATAGTAATTCGAGTAGAGGAGGAGGAGGAGATAATGGAAATAAAGAAAACGGTTTTTCACAAAATAGTTATAATAGAAATCCATAGAGTAATTATAATGGAAATAGTAATAGCGAAGACAAAGGCGGTATAGAAAAAGGAGGAGGAGGAGGTAATCTAGGATATAATTATAGTATTCCAGAGATCTTCCCAAATCTATTACCAAGAGTTATAAATATTAATTAATTTCTCGAAAATCTTATAAAACTCTATAACAAGAATAATAAATATAGTAGACAAAATAATAATTTTATTTATAAATACAATATATTCCTTAATAATTATCAACAAATTGATATATCTGATAATCTATTTCCAAGAGTATTTCTTACTATATTTGTTAATATAATATTTGATTTCTATTATATAAATTTGAAAATTATGCCGATATTGATATAAGAGATTTGCGATTTATTTGTAACTATATTTGAAGATTTTGAGTATAAAAAGAATATTATATAATAATAGAAAACTGTTACACTAAAGAATGTAATAGTATAACCTAAAAATGATAGGAAATCAATTACTCATTATCTACAACAAATAATAATAAAACTATATCACTTATATAAAGAATTTAATATTATAATTAGAATAAACAATTTATTTTATTAAAAGATTATCAATATATATATACCAGTATCAATATATTCTCTAGCTTGTTTTCATTTAACTAATAATATATTAAATCTCTTTGAAGAATTTTATTTAATTATTATAATATAAAAACTGATTTATCCAAATAAAAATACAACATTCTATACCAACCGGAAATATTAATACAAAAAAGAATATAATCAGAATAAAGACTTTGAATAAGGTAATCGACAATTATTCAAATTATAAATTAAAAAGAAATATTTTATTTATAAAAAGAATAATTATTAATTAATCTAATATAATAAAAAGGAGTGTAATGAATTACAATATAAATATAAGAAGTAATTTAAAAAAACTAATAACAGTTTTGATAAAAGTTTTGAATAGTTTTTTATTAAATATAAAGATTTTAATTAAAATTATAATAAAAAGTCTAATCCTAATATTAATAAAAAAGTTAAAGTTTATTTTGCTTAATATAAACTTTAAGATTTATTAATATAAAAACCATAATCGAGCTTTATTATTCAAAATAGATTTATTAATAATAAAAAGATTATAATGAAATTAATTAATAAAATACTTATCTATATTCTAATATACCAAACTCGAGATGAATTTATATTTATAAATGAATATAATTTAAAAGAATTTAAGAATATTATTATTAATATAATTATAACACAATAATTTATAATAGAATTTAATTAATATATAGCATATAAAATAATTATCGAGAATATTATTTTAAATATAAGTAGAGTAGGAATTACAAATGTAATATTTGGAATTAAAAAAACTGAATCTTTCGAATCGATCAAGCTTTACTTACTTTTAGGAATTATCAAATTTCATATTATGGATATAGAAATACTATTTCTATTATTATTTGATAATATGGATTATTTCAATATATATTATAATAATATTATTAATGTTATTGTTGTAAGAATAGGAGAAAGTTATTTTTGTATCCGATATAATAAGTATATTGTTTTCCTATAGTAAATAAATATATAACAATTCATATAATAAATTATCAAAAATAATAAATGTTATCTTATCAATACAAAACTATAATAACTATATCGTTGTTTTGATTATTTATTAATATATAGACTTTTATAAATATTATAACAAACTAGTTATAATAATATCTCAAAAACTGAGATTAATAAGCTTAACAAATTCTATTAATATTATTAAAAGTACAGGAAATCACCAAATTGATTTAAATTTAATTTACAAGATGATATTGATTTTAATTATTTAATTATAATTAATACAATATATATTGATATTTATTTTATTTTATACATTATTAATAAGAGAATACAATTTCAAACTATACAATAATTAGATAATATTATTATAAAATATATTTTCGATACACTTTGAAAATGCTAGATAGATACTTATATCAATCTATTAGATTTTATTATATATAATACTGGAAAGAATTTCATAAATAAGGAATTTGTTTAATATATTATAACTATATTAATAAAAATAAAGAATATATCAATTGAGGTATATGTCACGGATCGGCACCCAATCGCAGGTGCGATCGCTCACGTGCGCATGCGCGCACGTGTACGATCACGTGTACATAGTTGATATATAGGTTCGCTCGACGAGCGCTTTGCTCCCGATTCTGTAGTTGTAGATTCTAAGGACAAATTGTACCCTGCTCTCGCAGTTCTTCTAAGGCAAAGCGTCACAGTATATTAATCAATTGGTATAATTAAATATTATTATATAATTATCAAAAAAGCATACACTATCATCTTCAATAAGTTTAATAATTCTATTACAAAAGAAATAATACTACAAATAGTTATAAAAGTAGTAAATAATATTACAGGACTAAATGAATTAGTTTCAATATTTCTAGTTTTTGAAGTATATCCACAGATATTTAAATCTAATCCACCTATATCTATAATTTTATAGAGGTAATTAGTGATTAGAAAAGTAATAAATAAGATTTATAAGCTACAAGTGATATAATAAATATCTAATACTTTAAATTAATAAAATAAATTATTTATAATAACTTTATATAACTTATCTATCAATTCAAAGGTTTGAGTATAAAGAGAATATAAAGAATGGATGGGATTATATTATTTATTGAATATAAAAGATAAAACATGTATAATATAATTATTAAGTGGATTAATAGAATTCTGTATTACTCAGGTTAAACCTTATATAAAGAATATATAGAATCGGTTTTAGAATTAATTCCAATCATCTATCGAATTATTACAAATACTATTTATACAAGCTAAATTAATACAATAAAAGCAATTTGCTATACCTAATATAAGTAAAATAACTTTACTAGAATCTAATAAAGTTATATCTACTTCTTTATCAACTACCACCAAAAATAGGAATTTAGAGAAGATCCTTTTGGATATATCCAGGAATCTTTAATTTTAGCAATAATAGATTCTTTAAATAATAATTCCAGTATAAATAATATTTTTTGTAAAAGGAAAAAATATCGAATCTACAAAACACTTACCGGATTTGTTGATTTTTTTATCAAAGAAAAACAAATTTAATGATATATAATACATTGAATATTATACAATATCTACTAATACCTTACTATCAATAATTTTTATAAAATCAAAATAAAAAAAGATTAACAAACTTATAGAAAACAATGTTTCCAATTTATAAAGATTGTGAATATTCCTATAAGTATAAGGATTTTTAATTTTGTTTTATTAATAAGATTGAGAATAAAGAAATTAATAAAGTATTTTTTAAATTCTAATTGATTATATAAGTATAAAAAGATTAAGGAAAAAATGCTATTTTGATATAATTGTTTACAATATAATATATTAACTAATGTATTATATTAGTAATGATAATTATATTACCCAAAATGAAATAATTATAAGTATTTATAATACTATATAAATATATATACAATTAATATCAAACTTAGTTTGAAAGTTTTATATTCAACCACCATCAGAAATAAATATTCTAAAAGATTTTATTTATAAGTTATACAATTATTATATAATATCCCGAAAGCAGAAATTATTGATTTAGTATTTACCATAAGTATCATATTAATACTTTCAAAATAATACAATCAACCTATAATCCATATTTGTTATATATAATTAAAGACAATATAATATTTAATATTATTAAACTATAAATAAATAATATACTCATTATAATTAATAAAGTATTTGTAGATTATAAATAAACTAAGCTTAAAAATACTAAATTTATGACAAAAGAGTATGAGATATTTATATTAAATATATTATTTAAGTTTAATGATGATCTAATCATTTAATAGGATAATAATATGATTTATTTCAATTAAAAGAAATAATATGAAAACCTTTATTTAATCAAATCAGAATTATTAGATATATAAAGCACACACAGCAAGTTTAAAAAGTCTATAATAATAAAAGATTAATATATTGTATAATATGCTTAAGGAATATATATAACAATTATATATTAATTAAAGGTAGCCTTTAATTTATTATATATAATACAAATAGTTAATTCAAAAAAGAAGATATTAATATTCTTAATAAACATATTTAATAATAAATTGATAATTTAGAAAAAGAATTATAATTTGTACCACTTGATATGAATTCTTTTAAATTAATTATATTTATAGATATATCCTTTACTAATAATAAAGTTTTGTTTTTTCAGATTGGATATATTATTATTTTAATGAATAAATTCGATAAAGCTAATATCATTTATTAGTTGTTAATTAAATGTAAGAAAATCATTAGGAGTGTACTAGTATTAGAGTTCTATGGTATAATTTTGGGCTTTGATATTAGTGTAGTAATCAAAAGTATACTTAATAAGATCTTTCCAAACTATAAGATACTATTGATTATATATATCGATTCAAGATTATTATATAATTATCTTACAAAACTTGATATAATTATTGAAAAAAGATTAATAATCAATATAATAGCGATTCGAAAGGTATACAAGAAATAAGAGATTATAAAGATTAAATGGATTAACAAAAAATCTAATCTAGTAAATGCAATAACTAAATCTAAATTGTGTTAAGCCCTAAAGGACTTAATCGATAATAATATTATAAAGATTAAGGTTATGGAATAGGTTGAAAGAGATTAATAGTATAAATAGTTATATTGGAAAAGGAATATTAACTAGAAAAGATATAATATAATAACTTTAGAGAGTCGCTAGTATTAGGATAGAGATTATATAATTAACCGCGCTAGCATATACACTAACGCCCCCGTATTATAGCATATATATTCATAACCTTTAGCTTTTAGAACCTTAAGTAATATTACAATAGTGTAAATCATTAATACTATATTACTTCACCATCCCCATGGTGATACCAATACAAGTATTTCAAGTATCTCAAATATCTCAAATATCTTAAATATTTTAAGTATTTTAAGTATTTTAAATATTTCAAGTATCTCAAGTATTTTAAGTATTTTAAATATTTCAAGTATCTCAAGTATCTCAAGTATCTCAAGTATCTCAAGTATCTCAAGTATCTCAAGTATCTCAAGTATCTCAAGTATCTCAAGTATCTCAAGTATCTCAAGTATCTCAAGTATCTCAAGTATCTCAAGTATCTCAAGTATCTCAAGTATCTCAAGTATTTCAAGTATCCAGAAAATTCAAAATTCAAATATCAAAAATCAAATATCAAAATCACCAAACCAAACCAAACCAAACCAAACCAAATCAAACTAAACCAACATCACCATCACCATCACCATCACCATCACCATCACCATCAAAAACACACACATAAAACCCCCATCTACAAATGTAAATTCAATAGAATAGAATAGAATAGAATCGAGAATTCAGATATCATATCATATCACATCCTATGCTATGCTATACTATCCTATAAAATCCTATCCATCTTTCATACCCATCTTTCATATCCAGTATCCTCCATATCATATCATATCATATTGTGTTGTATTTAATATCTGTCTTATTTGCACCCTATCCCGCATTCCCATGACGAAAAGGAAAGAAAAAAAGAGAGAAACCCCAAACTCACTCCATAGCACCTGCCCATACATACCATGAGAAAATTTGAATCGAATTGAATAGTATCAAAAGAGAAAATTGAGCATCTTTCCCTTCCCTGCTTCTTTCCTTCCGTTGGCTAAGTTTTGGAAATGTGTATGTAGGAATTGAAGGTGGAAGGAGCTATGAAGATAGATTGGAATAAATATCCTTAAAACCCAATTCAACAAGCAAATAAGATAGATCAACCGAATCAAATCAAAACGATTCCATGCTTTTTGGCAATCCATCCATTCATCGCCATACCTCGCTTTCTTTTGATGCCCATCACAAATCAAAATCAGAATCCGAAGATCAAATGAGAAGAAAATGTATGCATAGACGCATGCATGCGGTGAATGATCAGGGAGTTAATGCAAGTAGCAGCAATGCAGATGAATGAATTCATCAAACCACGCATTCATCCTGAAAATCAAACTCAAATCATGGCCTTCGTACTCAAGCTGTTGAAGTCTCAGCAGCTTTAACTTCGGAATCTTTGCCGTCAAGTTTTTCAGCTGTATCGGCTACATCGGCTGCAACTTCTGCTTTGGCTACATCTTCCTTGGATGGAGATGTGTTGGTCCCGTTGGTACCATTTGTTTCTGGGATTGCTGGTTCCTCGGTTTGTTTTTCTGCTGAGGTTGATGAGACTTCCTCTTTTGTTTCTTCTGCAGTTTCATTGTCTTTTTCTTTTTCAGCTTCTTTCTCTCCTTCGACTACAGCTTCTTCCTTCGCAGCTTCTTCTTTCTTGGCACCAATCAATCCTTCTACAACCTCAAGTGTACCCTTAGGACTTCCAGCCTGTGCAGCCAACACCTTTCCAGATTTGTCAATGACAAATACACCTCTAGTGGTACCCTTCGCATTTTTTAAACCAATTGCGGAGATAAGTGAAGACTTTGTGTCGCAAAGAAGTGTGTAAGGAAGTTTTTGGTTGGTTTTGAAGGTGGTGTTGGATTTGGGGGAATCTTTTGAAAGACCGTAGACGGTGTAGCCGGTTAAGAGGAGGGTAGGATGAGAGTCGCGGAAAGCGCAGACTTGGGTTGTGCCTTGAGGAAATTAGTGATTGTATGAAGATTAAGTTGAACAGATGAGAAATGGGATTGAGATGAATTGATGGATGGGTGGATGGATAAATATTGAAGGAGTAGGATACTTACATCCAGGAGTAGAAGCTTTAGGATAAGTAAAAAGTACAACACCATTCTTACTCTCGGAAACAAGTTTCTCAAGTGTAGTCTTTTCACCTTCATTCGTTTCAATCTCTCCACCGAATCCTTTAAGATCGATGGTTTCACCAACTACAGCTTTTGTTGTTGTTGCTGTTGTTGCTGGAGCTGGAGCTGGAGCTGGAGCGGCAGCTGAAGCTTTAGAAGCTTTAACTTGAGGCAAGGGAGCTGGAGCTTCGACTTTAGTTTCAGTCTTTGCTTTGGATCCATTTGTCTTTGATGGAGGAGTAGCTTTGGTAGCTTTGGTAGCTTTTGGTTCAGCGGCTTTCTTGACGGTTTCTTTAACTTTTGCGACGGATTTTGCGACAGTTGACTTCTTTTTAGCAGGAGGAGCTGGAGCTGGAGGCTCAGCTGGAGCGGGACGTTTTCTTAATGTAACGGGCATGATTGTGTATTGTGTTTGAAGAGATTGGAAATTGAAGGTTGTTGTTGTTGTTATTGATGAGGTTGATTGTCGCGATTGTTGGTTTGCGATAAAGAGGGAGATCTTATCCGAGATGGATGGGGAAGTGGTTCGATGAAATACAATTCACTTTATAATTGAGGAGATAATAATGATGATAGAAAGGTGATGAATATGTCCACGGTAAGATAGATACTCTTTGGATTGAGAAAAAGGAGAGATGGATAGGAAAGAGTGAAGAGAGAAGAGATAAAAAGAAAGATGTTATGTAGTTGAATTATAAGCTGAGCAATCACTCAATCTCCTCACTCCCCATCCATTCTCTCCAGCCACGGGGGCTCTGGTTACTTTCTGTACCGTGCAAAAAACAAACAAGGTAGGTAGGTAGGCTCATAGGTTACTTTTAGGGGGAATGATGGATAGTTTCGTCTTTTGGGGTGTACAGCAATTCACGCGTTTTGGGATATGGGAGTTCTATGATCTGTTGTCTGAGACTGTGTTTTTTTTTGGTTTTGGGGGAATGTATGTAATATTTACTGGATTTGGAGAGGACTTTGTCTGGTGTATGTATCTACTAGGTAGGTATTGGACATGTTGACATGTCTGTCTATGTTCTGTATTCTGGACAGGTTAGAGGATTTCATGAATGGAGATTCACAAAATGGACATCGGGACTGATTGGTGGATATGGTTGGGTTGTGCTGCAAAACATGAATTGGCAAAGTCGGGGAAGGGGAAAGCTTTGGGGGAGATACGGGACAGGAATAGGAATCAGGATGGATTGAAGAATTGTGGAGTAGATGAGATATTGATTGGTTGTGTGTGTGTAGTATGTATGTATGGTAGTATGGGATGGACATTTGTGTGTGTGTGTGTGTGTGTGAGAGAGAGAGAGAGAGGAGAGGATCAAAAGAGACAATTTACCTATCATTGCAGCACTTGTAGACAGCACTTGTAGACAGCACTTGTCGATATATACCATGCATACATATATCAACGTAGACATGAGAAATCGACTCTCTGTTCAGGTGATGAAATTGAAACCCTTTGGAAAGAATACCTAGTAGCTCATATGGTGGAGATATATGTGAGAAGTGTTAATACCTAATACCTACATAGTACCTACCTACCACGTGCCCACCTACCTACCTACATATCTACATATCTACCTAGCTTTGGATAATATAACCAGAATCAGAATATGGCAATGCCGTCCGCCGTTACTTGATATCATTACTTGATATCCATATACGAGTATCTGACATCTCAAAACACGCCCAAACAGACACTTACTTTTGTGGGAACGTACAGAAAAGTCCAAGCAAATATGGTAATATCGTATGGTAAAATACCCTCGCACCACTCCTCCCAAGACGACCAAGTAGTCCACCAAGTCACTCCAATGTCCAAACCAACCTCCAACAAAGACCATCTAAAGGAAGCGTAACGGGAGCCCCGCACATCACCTAGGTCCTAGTAGCTTGTGAGTTGTAAGTTGTCGTCTGTACATAGTATAGTACATGTGACAAGCTTCAGGGTTTTGCGTTTGAATGATAGCTGAAGTTCTCATCGGGTAAAGTCTTTTATGGTTTGATCTCTACTATCTCTACCAGTACTACTCTGTCAGTCTGTACAGTAATACAGTACTATCAACCTTCTACATCCAACACCTTACCTCCAGCTTACATGCCAAAGTCCTCGGATAACATCCCGAGTTGTTCTCTGGTTTAATTCAGTTGGTTGGCCAAAGAGTAACTTAAAATCTCAGGTCCAAGGTCCAAGGTCCAAGGTCTTAAGGTGCAAGGCCAATATCGTGGCCCGAGGGAAAGAGAGATACGATGTACTGGATTGGACGGACTGGACTGACTGGACTCGAGAATGTACTGAGGCCGATAACGCGCATTTGAACAATACTCCAAAAATAGATTTTCGCTTAAACTAAAACCATATTTAGAATTTAGTGGTGTGTATTTAAGAATAAGATTTTTTAATCCAGTACACAACCTTCAAGGAATTAATGAAATAAAAAGAAAAGAGATATAATTATTAATTAAAATTCAAGGAATCGATTGATATAATTACTTTTGGAAGATCTCAAAAATTGAAATTTATATTCAATATAGAAATATTCTAATAAATTTGAAAAAGATTGAATTTCGATATTTAGTTTCTGATTCTTTGAATATTATTAAATTGAATATCAATTTCTATTTTTGAGATCTTCCAAAAGCAATTATATCAATCGATTCCTTGAATTTTAATTAATAATTATATCTCTTTTCTTTTTATTTCATTAATTCCTTGAAGGTTGTGTACTGGATTAAAGAATTCTACTTGGTATTAATAATATTATTCGAGGTTTGACTAGTCATCTATCCTAATAATTAAGGTATTAATATAAAACAGATTTCTGATTTGAACTTGAGTATAATAAAAGTAGTTAGAATTGAATACAAAATTTAATTTTTGAGATAATTCAAAAGTAATTATACCAATCGATTCCTTGAACTCTAATTAATAATTATACTACTTTCTTTTTTATTTTATAAATCTCTTTAAGGTTGTGTATTAAATTCAACTTTTTTTTTTCAATATTATAGAATCTAATTAAAGCTATATTAGTCATACAATTTAAACGAGATAAGCTTTGGCCCGAGCTTTAGATAAGAATTCTTACTAAGCTTATCTTGCTTATTCTAGAATGGTCTATATACTATAAGGAAAACTATTTGAAAATAGATTTTAAATATTAGTACTCTTCTTATAGAAAATTTCGAAATGAAATCTAAAAACGGATAAATAGAGCTAACCCTAAGGGCTATTTAATGATGTAATTTGTTTCACAAAAAGTCTTCAATGAGATTGAATTCTATCTTTCTTCAATAGATTTCTATAAACACACCATACAGATTCTAAAATTTCTTTTTTCATTAAGCGAAAATCTATTTTTGGTGTATTGTTCAAATGCGCGTTATCGGCCTCGGTAAATGGCTCAACTGGACTGGCTCAACTGGTTAATCGGTACAATGGATAATATGATATTTGCCATGATTACCCGGACCCATGAATGCAGGTAGGGTAGGAGGTAGGCTCGAGGTAGGTAAACTCGGATCCCTTCAATTTAGATTCCAATACAGCAAAACCTCTCCATAAGGATACCGGTTTTTGTAGACTTTTTTAAGGATATATAGAGGTATCCTTATATAGAGGTTCCGCTTAATCCCGATATAGTAATAATTTCCTTCCGATTAGTCCCGATCGGGCTATTTCTGTAACATTTTTTTCATTTCAATCAAATCTGACTAAAATATCGATATATTTATCACATAATTCTACTAATCCAATAAGGATATATGTAATTCTGGGACCGAAGAATATAAGGATATCCTAATAAAGAGGTTTTAAGGATATAGGCCTTTTTTAGCCCTGAAAATTTTTGGGACCAAAAAAAAATAAGGATAATAGAGGTTATCCTTATAGGGGGGATCCTTATGGAGAGGTTTTGCTGTATCATTTGTTGGTTATGTCCTTGAATGGTTCTTGAACCGTCCTTGAATAATGATGAGATTGATCATCCAAATGATGTAGGTAATCCATCAAATCACCAATCCAAATTCATGATAAACCATATACATACCTCGATAAGTAATACCTGGCAATTCCACCACTTTCTATCAAATCTCGTATTATTAGCAATTGAGAGAGCCCATTCGTCCGGCAATCGGAGAAACGATAACCAAGGTTAAAAAGGGACGAAATGTGGAAGATCTTCTCTTCTGCTCAAGATCAACAATCCGTCAACAATATGGAGAAGAGAAGGAAGAACCTTGACTCTCGTTCTCGTTCTCGTCCAGTCTCGAGCCAGTCCAGTCCCGTCGACAGTCCTTGAGCTTGACTTGACTCTTGAGACATCCATGATCGGATAGAAATTAAGCGAAACCCCGATGGCGAAAAATTTGATTTTCACAAGCAAAAAAGTAGGAAAAGTAAAAGGAAAAGCCCAGACAAAATCCGAATTCAATCCGACCCTTTATCTTTGAAAATCCTATCCATGGATCCATCCATCTTACTAACAATTTCGATATTTCCTATAAACTTTATACCTTGATACCTTTATAACTATCTGACTCTTCCTCATATCCTACATATCCTACATATCCTACACATCATACATTGGTTTTTCGCGATACAATAGATTAATAGAAACACAATAAATCAGAATTCTTTCAATCATCAATCAATCAAGTCGTTCCTCCAGTCACGATCGGCAATTACTCATCGATACTTAAAAATCCCATCCCTCTAAGATTAAAAAAAAGAAGGGTCCAAATCTCCAACAAGCACACGACCAAAGGCACACGATCAAAATGAAGGTCTTTTCTAGCGATTGCAAATTCGATTACTCATGGGAAGAGGTTTCAACTGCAAACTGGAGAAAGTATTGTCCATGGAATCATAAATCTACTCATGTTATCGCCGTCGATACATTATCACGACATGTCGATGCTGAAACTGGAATTGTACGTTCTTTCTCTTCTTCCTGTTTTTCCTCTTCTTCCTCTTCCTCTTCTTCCTCTTCCTCTTCTTCCTCTTCCTCTTCTTCCTCTTCCTCTTCTTCCTCTTCTTCTCCACTCACAAATATAAATACTAATCAAATACAGCTACGAACTGAACGTTTAATTACCTGCCAACAATCAGCTCCAAAATGGCTTCAATCTCTCATGGGCGGTAAAGATACATCCCACGTCTTCGAAACCTCATACGTCGATCCTGTTACCAAAAAAGTTACAATGACTTCTACCAATCTCACATTTTCCAACATCATCAATGTGCAAGAAACAGTCGTCTATCAACCTTTATCAGCAAACACAACGCAATTTGTACAAACGGCACAGATTACTGCATTATGTGGTGGATGGCAAAAAGTGAAGAATGCAGTTGAGGATGCGACAGTTACGGCTTTTTCGGAAAATGCACGAAAAGGAAAGGAGGGATTCGAAGCAGTTTTGGCCATGAGCAGGAGGGTTTTCAGTGAGGAGAAAATGAGACAGCAACAAGCCGCTACCGTTACTGCATAAAGTTTGAAATTTGAAAGGAGTTTTGGAGAGGGGTTTGCATGCAGATATTCCGGTTCGGTCCGAGATGTACATGATGAGATTCATATTATTCGAATCTCATTACATCACGACTCCAACGATTTCTCCCTTATTCTTTTTCTCCTCTCCACTTCACTTCAACGATCTCCTTACTTCACTTTGCCATTTACGAATTTTACATCATCTGGGGAGTTTTGGGATTTTTCATTACAGGTCCCGGTATACAAAAAAGTCCACTTTTGGAGTTCTAGAAGGAAAGTTCTCGGTTGCACATTCTAATTTAAGCGCGGCGTTACAAAAGGATAAATGGGATTGGGTTAGGTTGGGGTTTGCTTCACAAAGAAGATTGTCTTTTGTTGTCTTTGAATGAAAAAGTTATGATGTTCAAAGAAGTTTTTCATCCTCAACGCTGATGTGGGTTATTGTTACGATACAGATACCCCTTTTTTTCCTTTTTTCCTTTTTGTTGTGCTTTTTTTTTCTTCTTTGAAAGGGGAGATAAAAATAGATGGATAGATGGGTGGGTTGGTTTATAGATGAGGCTGAATAGGGAGGGATGCAGATAGAATGAGCGAGTCAGTGAGGGACTTGAAGAGGAAGAGAATCATTAGACTTTACTTTGAACTGTGGTGTTTTATATGAGTGAGTGAGTGATTGATGTATACGTGTATGAATAAACTGTATGTGAGACGTTATCATGAAGTATGTAAATCTTTATTTTTCCTTTCTTCTATCTCGTTTCTTCTCTTTTCTTTTTTGAAATACTTGAGTAGGTATTTTACCTGATGGGGTGGATAAATTACTTGATTATCTTTCGAGTGAGTGAGTGAGTGAGTGAGTATATATATGAGATTTAGATTTATGTTTGAGTTTGGGTTTATATTTGAGTTTAGATTTGGGTATACTCGAGTATAGATATGCATGTATTTTTGAAGATGTATGTATATTAAGCAGTAGAGAGGGAGAGGGAGAGGGAGAGGGAGAGGGGAGGAAGATTTTAGGCGAGTGCTTGAGTGTTTAGTTGGTTGAGGGGTTGGTGTGTGATTGATTAGAAGGGAGGTGGATGAAGTGGTTGATGAGGTGATTGATGATGGTGGATGAGATGGAGAAGGGGGATGGAGAAGGGGGATGGAGAAGGGGGATGGAGAAGGGGGATGGAGAAGGGGAGATATATATTCTAATCAAGTACATGACTAGTTGATATATATATATATATATAATTAATAAATTATAAATAAAAACAAGAATAAACGAGAGATTTTAGTATAAGAGGAAGATAAAAGAGAGAGGGGATCGGGAGTTGTATATTCTTTTTGTAGAAAGAGGAAAAGAAGAGGAAAGGGAGAGGAAGGGGAGAGGAAGGGGAGAGGAAGGGGAGAGGAAGGGGAGAGGAAGGGAGAGGAAGGGGAGAGGAAGGGGAGAGGAAGGGGAGAGGAAGGGGAGAGGAAGGGGAGAGGAAGGGGAGAGGAAGGGGAGAGGAAGGGAGAGGAAGGGGAGAGGAAGGGGAGAGGAAGGGGAGAGGAAGGGGAGAGGAAGGGGAGAGGAAGGGGAGAGATGAGAGGTGAGAGGAGAGTGTAGAGTTGAGGCGTTGAGGAGGAAAGGGAATTAGTTGTTAGTTATTAAATGCTTTAGATGAAGAGAACGAGGAAGAGAAATGATAAAAGAAACGAGGAAGAGAAACGAGGAAGAGAAACGATTGAAGAGAAACGATGAAGAGAAACGACGAAGAGACACAAGGAAGAGAGAAAGAGAGCAAGGTGGAAGAGAACGAGGAAGAGAAACGATGAAGAGAAACGATGAAGAGAAACGACGAAGAGACACAAGGAAGAGAGAAAGAGAGCAAGGTGGAAGAGAAACGAGGAAGAGAAATGAGAAAAAAGAAAAGAAAAGAAAAGAGTTACCGGTAGATAAATATAAATATAAATATAAATAGTGAAAGATTAAAGCTGGAGATATTTTCCTGAGAGGGAGAAAAGGGGGCGGGGGAGGGGGGGTTGTATGTATATGTATGAGAGAGAGAGAGAGTATGTGTGTGTGTGTGTGTGTGTGTGTGAGTACCTAGTAGGCGGGTATATATAGTAAGTATGTATATAGCTAGTACCTAGTACCTACCTAGTACGTACCTACCTAGTACACACGTATATAAGAATACATATGCATCCCGATATCATATCACATCACATCATATCACATCATATCAGAGATGAATTCGAAAAGAAAAGAAAAGAAATGAGGTACGCAGAAAATAGAAAAATCTTTATTCTTCCCACCCAGGAAATTTTCTTTGATATTCTAACACAATCTAGATAATCCATCCATACTCTAATTCTTCCATCATCAAATGCATCGAAATCACATCCCCCTATTCTCTTATCCTCCTATATACTCAACACTTCAATTCAATCTAGACCATCCACCATCCACCCTCCTCATTTTCAAGTTCTCGATGCTATCTCTTCATCTTCAAGAATGGGAAGCTCACCACAGTGTTGAAAGGTGTACGCGTTAAGAATATCCATTAATAGATCCATAGATCATTTTCTTCCTTGCGTAGGTATCTTCAACATGTATGAACTCGAGATCGTGATACGTGCTGGTAAGGGCGGGATCGAATTTTGGGGTGGATGTATTGGAAATGAAATAGGAGGTTGGAGTAGGTATTTTCAGCTAAATTGTCGTTGTCTGATAGGTTGAAGCCATTTGTTAATGCCATTTGTTAATGCCATTTGTTAATGCCATTTGTTAATGCCATTTGTTAATGCCATTTGTTAATGCCATTTGTTAAAAAGATTCCCAATCTCGAAGTGGCCATTGTAAAATTGTGAATCGTGTTTTGGCTGAGAATTCAGGATTCGGGATTCCGAGCGCAAGAGAAGACAAGTTGAGTAATTATAAGAGGGAATCCCCATCCCTTTTTCATTCACTATCCTCCTCTCACTTGGTCTTTCTTGAAATCCTGAAATTGTGACCTGTGAGCCTGTCAAACTATCCAAGATCACAGATTCCTTGTACCCCATTCCAGGGCCTCCAATTATCTTATATTCATCTCTCGGCATTTCTTAACATTCCCAATCTCTCATCGATATTTCACTACCTCCTACCTCAGGAACATCGCAAAATGACATAAGTGCCGTTAAGAGTACCTCCCCCCTTGTCTTCAACACGGATTCGCTTATTCTCTTCCCAGCCCATCTTAGCAGCGGCAAGAATGAGAAGCGCAATCTTCCTCTAGCTGAGTCTAGTTTTTCAATATGCGCGCACGAACAAGCCCTCTTGCTGACTCGTCAGCCACTCATTCTCACTCCACGATTCCCGTAAAACCCCTTTGGAGTACCGATACTCTTTCCGTTTAGCACCAAATCCAACGCATCGGAATCCTTCAAATCCCCACCAGAAATAAAACAAGAACTGTTCATCTTAATTCCGACAATTCATCTCTCACTTCTCTTCCTCTCCTTTCTCCTTCCCAGCCTTCAATCGTTCTCCACATCTCCTCTCATATTTCTCCACCACTGCCCTAAAATCCTCCATTAAATCATCTTGTTCCAAGATCCTCTCCGATAACTTCCTCGCTTCTTCAAATCTTCTATAAAAATACAATTCTTCAATCGCGTAGAGGAATTGAGCTGTTTGTGGTTTACTGCGTGGGTTTAGAGGGAGAGGAGGGAGCGTTTTATGGATCTATTTGGATTGTTAATCATTGACCCATCTTCAATCTTGCACACAATATAACCAGAAAAGAGGTAAGAGGGAAACTGTGCGAATGGAGGGGGAGGGAGGCAATAGACGGAGGAGGAAAAGAAAGCGCAAACATACCTCGCCAGATTCGCTCCTAGCTTTCCATTCACGTTTTACAGCTTGAAAATTCTCTTCGGATTGGAAATCTCGAGGGACTTTTTCCGTGGTGTCGGGGGTAGATTCATCGGATGAGTCGTATTCGATTGCGAAGAGGGGGTTTTCTTCGGTTGAGTCTGACATTTTGGGATAGAGGGATTAGGGATGAGACGAAATGGGTATTGTATTGGTAAGATGTCAATGTTTAGGTGTAACTTTACTATGTTGTACTCACAATAGTGAAGTAACACGTTATGTGTAAAAGGGAGCTCGATAACAATATAGTACGAAGGAGACAGAAGGTTGAAGTTGACAAGGCTAGAGATAAAAATAAAAATAATGTTTCCTTATCGATAAGGATTTTGACTTGTCTTTGATTGATATCAGCACCAGAAACCGAAGCGGGGCATATGAGGGGTTCAACTCGTGGAAGTAGCATCGATCGTCGTCACATCACATCACATCACATTAGATGAGATTACTAGGTAATTGTTTCACCACATTTCGATAGCCGTAGTAATTCCATGGACATTCCATAATTACTCATACTTTCTCTTGGTGCTCAATCTACTTTTGTTGTTCTTCGACTTTCATTCACTTGTCATCTTGTCTCGAGTGTCCACGTTGTTTTGACTTGTGTGTGTGTGTGACTTGTTGAGTTTATATTATCCCGAGAGTTCGAAATACCTACACCCTCGACCCCTTAAAATGGAAGATCAAGTAACGAGATTGACGGAGAAGGTTTGGGGTATGTAATTACTCTTCTGTGTTAATATTGGATGATATGGGAGCTAATGATTTCGTTCAGAAAGTTTCCAACAAACACCTCCTAATGGTAGATATCTCATCGCAGTTTCTGGGATTCCGGGTTCAGGTATTTACATCTCCTTATTGTTCTCTTCCCCCATATTCCTATTCCCCAATCTCTAACTAAAATCGTCTCTAGGCAAAACCACCCTCGCAGCAACTATTACCAAACGTCTCAATGCTCTCCAAGACGCCCACTCAAACAAAACTTCCCTTCCCCCAATCGCAGGGTTCATCCCCATGGACGGCTACCATTTGACCCGCGCCCAACTATCAGCCATGCCTGACCCAGCACATGCACACGCACGTCGAGGCGCAGAATTTACATTCGACGGCCCCGCATTCCTCTCTCTCATTCAGCGTCTTCGTGAACCACTTACTCCATCTACCATCACAATCCACGCTCCATCATTCGATCATGCGCTCAAGGACCCCAAGGCTAATGATATACCAATTGAACCCACGACCCGGATATTAGTTTTTGAGGGCAATTATTTATCGTTGAATAAGGAACCGTGGAGGAGCGCTGCAAAATTAATGGATCAGCTTTGGTTTGTGGATGTGGATTTTGAGGTTGCGAAGAAGAGGTTGATTCCGAGACATGTAAAGGCGGGGATTGCAGAAGATGAGGAGGATGCGGAGAAGAGGGTCGTGGAGAATGATTTGGTTAATGGGGAGGAGATTGTTAAAGGGAGGATGGAGGTTGACGAGATTATTGTTAGTACGAATGATGTTGCATGGAAGTAGATAGCTGGTGGTGTGAAAAAGTAAAGAATAACTGAACCCCAGTCCGTAAACCGAGGATTATGAATCATTCATGTTGAAGGTTTAGCTGGTCTAATCTAGCAATGAACTTTTTACCATCTCGGCATCCCTGAGCAGTCGTAGTACATCTGAAACTAAATAAAGACTACCTGCAACAACGATAGGACCACCTTGAGCAACAGTGGCTGCCCATCTTAGTGCTCCAGAAATATCTGCCGATGAATCATGCAGGCAAGTGGTAGAAATACCTACTGTAGAAGCTGCATGTAATATATCTTCTGTATCCATAGCTTGAACCCATGGCATTCCATCCACGGGTCCAAATTGAACTGCAGCTACACAGTCACCTTCTCTTAAAATCTCTTTCATAATTCCATCGAGCTCTTTGCCTAGAGATGCAGCTAATACCCAGGTTACTTTGTTTGATTTTGCCCGAAGCTTTCCATCAACATATGAACCAAGAACTTCTGCGGATTGCACGTTGTGTGCGCCATCGAGTAGTATGGGTTCTTTTCGACCTGTCACAGCTCTAACATCAGTAGTTTGAAGCCTACCGGGCCAATGTATATTTTGTATAGCTGGTAATAGTCGATGTAGAGGAGATTCCAATTTAGTATATGCTAGATGAAATGCTGTGTACGCGCAAGCTAGATTTTCCAATTGATGTGGTTCGAGATCTTGTCCTTTGATTTCATCCAAAAATGCTGATTCAGTAGAACTGATAACCACATCTGTTCCAATTTCTTTGGCATAATTTGAGACGACTTCCCGCACCGAAGATATATTGCTCCTATCCAAAACACATGGAACACCAGGTCTCATGATTCCAGCTTTTTCTCGAGCTATTTCTTCGATTGTATTTCCTAGGAATGATTGATGGTCTAGACCAATCTTGGAGATTATTGTGACCGCCTTATTCTCCATAGCATTTGTTGCATCTAATCGTCCTCCCAAACCAACTTCGATTACTCCCATCTCTACTTTCTCTTTATAAAACACTTCGAATGCCGTGGCTGTGAGTAGTTCGAATTCGGATGCTTGGAGGTTCTCTGCTTGATTTCTCTTCAACACTAGAGCTTCAGCTTCGCGGAAGATAGATTCTCGAATTGGTCGTTCATCGATAGTTATACAATCCCACCTATCAATTAAATGAGGCGATGTAAATCTGCCACAACGAACACCACTGGCATGTAGCATGGCAGACAAATAGGCACATATTGAACCTTTTCCATTGGTACCTGCAACATGAATGGCTTTCCAAGGTTGAGGAGTATGCCTCAAAAGACGACTGATGCGATTTAAGCCAAGCTCAATCATTGTGAAGATGGAGAATCAAATGATTGGTTCAAAAGGGCGTTTCCAAAAAGACTTTGTGATAATGTAAGCTGGGTTGGTGACTATTTCTTTCCAGTAAAAATAGACATTGTCAATATGGTTGTCATCGATTCATTCTATTGTTCTAGAACACATACTTTGTTGCTGTCGTCGCATCATATAAAATGTGAGTCAATCGTGATATCAATGGATCTCCCAAGCTAATGAGAGCTTCAAGTACCGGATCTCCCGTCTCGATAACTTTGAATGTGAAAACCTTGGAATCCTTGGAATTGGTCTGGTCTTTTCGTAGTTATCGATAATCGATACCAATTACGCAGTAACCCAATGTATGCAAGTACCGTTGTCATGGATGTCTAGTACTTTGTAGTAAGGTTAAGAAGGAGATCCATTTTAATTACCTACGAGTAGTACGATACTTGACTTTGACTGGGTATTTAGCGCGCTTTTTTTTTGGAACGCGATCGATCTCTCAACTCAAGTCCTCCCCCAGATTCTTCCTTCTCTTTTCTTCTTCACTCTCTCACTTCGACTGAATGAACAACCTTCACATATCACACACATATCACACACATCGCCAATTGTCAATTTAAAATCCAACAAAATTGTGATAACGAAGAATCAAGTCACGCTCATTAATACCTGGAGTCTTTCCTATCGATTTTAATATTCCTTCTATTCACTCTCTATCACTCAAAACATGGGTTTACCGTAAGTCATCAATCCCCCCTTCATATTTCGCCTGTCGCATTGCGCCAAAATTCATACTCATTTCAAAATCACAGAATATTTTTCAAGCCTTCGGAGCCCGATTCCTCATCAAATGCGACAGAAGACCCTACATCCCGCGCACGATCTACCATTCGAGGTCATGCTCCTATTCTTCGAAGTACTCTGCGCAATCCTTCCTCTCGTGCTACTAACCGTTGGCGTGTGCATAGCGCACGGAGATGGGCGCCCACAGATGATGTTGAACAGCATCGTCTTTATCACAGCTCTGACGCAACTCGTGTATTCATCACTGCTCCTACTAGATCTTCAATCACAACAACAACTAGTGATGCAATGGGACATGCGAGGAGAAATGATTCATCATCACCGGAAGTTCCAATAACAACATTTAGGCCTAATACCTTCATAGATATTTTGAATGCCAATGATTCTGATGATGATGATGAGGAGGAGGACGAGGATGATGAACTACCGATGCCCGCTGTTCCGGAATCTAGAGATTTTTCCAACCCTTCCAATTTAGAGTCGCGAGATTCTGTCAGACGTCATCAGCGATTGATGAGAACTGCAATACTTGGAGCTCATGGCTTGCCTCTCTCCTCTTTCCTCTCTCGAACATCTCCAATTCCAGAACAGCGCCCCAGGGCAGTATCCCCCATTCAAATTGATGTCAGAAACACGAACCGCAATGTAAGCTAAAGTTTAATAAGTGCCCAAGCATCGCAGTATGTGGACTAAGTATGACCGTAAAGATTTTTGCTAATTCCTTTCTTAGAATCCATTAGCGGAACGTACCGGTGAAACGAACTCACAAGATTTCTCGGCGCAGAGGCATCAGGTGGGACGGCGAGATACAGCAGCAGATCGAGACCGGCGCATTCAGCGACGCGTGCGTGGAGGGCTACGCAATCTTGATGCCACTATCAGACAAGAACTGCTTCAACACTCCCGCCATCACGACCCGGTCGAATATCGACAGCGATTCTATAGCCACGAGGCACGACGCATCAGCGATTTCAGAGAGCAATTGCGGATCAGGGAACGAATTCGAGCTTCGAGAGAACGAATGCAGGCTAATAGAGAATCCACTCCCGCCAGAACCGAAGGGCTACTGCAGGGTCTTAGAGAAATAATAGACCGGTCCACTCGCCCTGCATCTGAAGACCGACTGCTTGCTGACGTAGAGCGTCCTGGAATATTGAGAGAGAGACCTCTAGCTGGTGAAGTGCAATTCAGGCGGTACACCCCCTCTGGCCGTCGAGAACAGCAGACCAACACGCCGCACAGTGAAATAGAACAGGCCGATCAATCAATTTCTTCTAGTTCCAGAGAGCAGCATCGATTTGATTTATTTGAAGGAATGCCTAATCATCTCGACGTTGAAAGCAACGGACAAGAAGCCACCCAACCTATTACACTACCGCAGTTTGGGGAAGGAGGAACTTTCAGGATAAACACCAATTATGACGGCCTCGGTGATCGAGAACGTAGCATTGAGTTTCAAGAGCCAGAGAGGGGTCACAGAGAATTTGATGGCCATTACGTCATAGATAATGTTGAGCAACACGATGTTCACGACCGTAGTGACTCAAGGCATGATTTGGATCTAGAAGGTCCGGAGTCATGGGACAGTATCTTGATCACGCCAGATCCACAATCACCAAACCCATCATCTTCATTTGCTTCAACCGCTGCGTCTAGCTCACAGCGGCCTTCTCTAGGAACCTCTATTAGTAGTCTGCCAGAGAATGAGTCTCTTCCGATTGGTGATTGCGACAATCCATCAGATGTAGAAATCGATGATGAGGCAATTGTCGCAGCTATTGAATATTTCGGACGATATACACAAAATCGCCCAGGCCCTGCATATGTCGAACAACCTATTGGACAACATAGAACATTCGCGGGGTGATAGATCTACCGAATTGGCATTGGATGAATACATTTATCGATAAATTGGGTTTCATTACTATTACAGGGACGAGTGTTGTTTTTCTGAGAGGCGATCAAGCACGCTATTGCAGAATGATTTATCACAAATCTGATGATACATTGTATTATTATACTGGCGTTGGGTCAAGCGGGGAAATCCACTTTCTGTTTGTTCGTGATTATGATCAAACAAGCAGTAATATGGGCGTTCGTCATTCATGATTTAATGATTGCCATAAAGGAAGATCAATTTGATCAAGGAATAGTGGATTACGAGCCACATAAGGGAGTTATTGGACATTGAAAAGGCAAAATGGGGGAGTTGAATCTGGCGAAATGCTTAGTTTTATGACAGAGGGGTCCAGTTTTTCTAGACAATTTTTAGTACAGAGGTATCAGATGCTTCGCAGGTAACCTGTGGTGGAGATATCAATGAGTGGACATGAGTATGAAAAGAGTTTGAAAGATGACTTTTAGTCAAGGTGGTTTGGTTGATTGATCATTTCAGTCCTTCCTCCCTTTTTGTATATACCTAGGTAGGTATTCCAAGGTTGTCACATATAAAAAGATGTATTATTCCTTTTTTGACCCTATCAATTTGAAAGCAATCAAAAAAGAAACTCCATGAGACAATCAAACAATAAATGGCGTTTCCCAAGAGACAATTGTTGAACCAGATGTTGCCAGTTCCCTTATCATATCAAGATTATCCATCTATCTCTACGATATCACCGAAGTGATGATTTACGACTATCAGCCTTACTAGGCACGGCATACTTTATTTAGATGCAGCTCGCCAGAGAGAGGGAGTGGTTGCGACTTCAACAGGATCCACCCATGTAGGCGCTTGTTTGCCAATTTTGTTTAATCTTGCCTTGCCCAATGTTTTAATTTCTCTCTTTCTGATAATGCTCCATAACTCATAATACCACGCTTCGTGTTTTTTTTGTAATGATTGGACAAACATTCATACACAATACTTCAACCATAAAGAATGTTTATTATCTTCAAGACACGAACATCAAATTCAAATTCTACATAATATCATACAAACAGTGAATCTCTTTATATCCACTCTCGCGTGCTATTTTCGCCGTGCAGTGAGGGCCAGGATCCACCGATATCGACAACCTTGAATATAGTCCTATAACCCCGCCAAATAATCGTCGTGAAACAGGAACAGGAATCTAGTCCACAAAACACGAAAAGCTGATGCTTCAATGAGATCCCCCATCTGCCAGAGAAATATACCTCTAGCAGCCCTCCTCTCCACCCTCTGAAACCTTCCACCCGGGGTCATCGCACACCGACCATGGTTTCTCGTCCACCTTCCTCAGCCGACCGGCAAAGCAATTCAAGATCGGCGGGCGTGAATGGGAGTGCGAAGGCAGAAAGGACTCCAGGGACACCGCGGAGAGAAAGAAAGGAAAAGGCTGTGCAGGATCCAGGACTCAAAGACTACGTACACACCCGAGATTCTCAATACAGGAAATACACCTACTTATAAATGTTCAGCGTCTAGGAGAATGTCTCGGGAAGGGAGCATTTGGGTCGGTCTACAAGGCGTTCAATTGGGGCACGGGAGAAGCTGTGGCTGTGAAGCAGATCAAGCTGGGGGATCTCCCCAAGAGTGAATTGCGGATGATTGAGGTAGACTTAAATGTTGAAATAGTTTGGACTACGTGCTAATACCATGTGCAGGCCGAAATAGACCTTCTCAAAAATCTGCATGTAGGTTTGCAATTGAGTTGGGAGGAGGCAAAGCCGTTTGAGCTGACATTTCTTAGCACGACAATATTGTCAAATATCTTGGTTTCGTTAAGTCTTCAGACTGCTTGAACATAATTCTAGAGTACGACATCTTGTGCTCTTGTTTCTTTACCACATTGTACTGACAGCATTTTAAGGTATTGCGAAAATGGTTCCCTACACTCGATTTGCAAAAGCTATGGGAAATTTCCTGAAAACCTGGTTGGCGTTTATATGGGACAAATACTTCTAGGACTCCAATATCTGCACGATCAGGGTGTTATTCACAGGGACATAAAGGGCGCGAACATTCTTACAACAAAAGATGGAAAGGTTAAGCTTGCGGATTTTGGTGTGTCTACTAGCACTCTTGCTGGAGCAGACAAGGAGGCACAAGTTGTTGGAACCCCGTACTGGATGGCTCCTGAAATCATTCAACTTTCTGGTGCAACACCCGCATCTGATATCTGGAGTTTGGGTTGCACGGTAATTGAACTACTTGAGGGTAAGCCTCCGTATCACAAATTGGCTCCTATGCCAGCCTTGTTTGCTATTGTCAATGATGATCACCCTCCTTTGCCAGAGGGAGTTTCACCAGTGAGTCGATGTTAATATCTTCTTTGAAGCCAAGACTAAACATTTTCTAGGCGGCTCGAGATTTTCTCATTCAGTGTTTCCAAAAAGACCCAAATCTAAGGGTTTCTGCACGAAAATTGTTGAAACATGCTTGGATCGTGGGCTCACGCAGAACTGATGCTCCTATTGCAAAGCCCCCAACGAACTTCAATGAAGCGGTCGAAGAGGTGAAGCAGTGGAATGAGGCTTTAAAATCTCCCACCAGTGCCGGAACATTTCGTACTTCTACGAGGTCGCAACAGCTTGGTAGCCCCTTACCAGCCCGTCGAGATCCTCCTCTGAGGAATATTCATAATGAATCGCAAAGCAATAATATGGTCACCCCTCCGAAGGGCCCCCTCTCTGTGGCTAAACCGAAAAGTTTGGCGAGTTCTTTCAGGTCTCCAGAAACTGCAGGTAAGCGAGTCTCACTAGGAAATTTCAAAAATTCCTTGTGGAAACTGACTGTCGAAGCGGACGATAATTGGGATGATGACTTCGCTTCTTCTATATCTCCAAGTGCGCTTCAACTTCCACATCTAAAGCCTCATGACAATTTCGGAGGCCTCCTTTCCGCTGATCGTCTCAAGTCTTTTGCATCATTCGAGTTCGCAAATGATGAATCCGATAATTGGGATAATAACTTTGAGGGCGATCTTGTGACAATTAAGGGTCCCAAAACCCATGTCGAGACGGATGGCCATGAATTGGAGACAATTCGACCATACAAAATCAAAGCTCCCACTAACATAGATTTTGAAGAAGACCTATCTCCTAGAAGTTTTTCCAGAAAGCCATCTATTCCTTCTCGTCCGAGATCTCCTGTCAAGGCACGGGCTGAGGGTAAATTTGCCTTGCCTTCCAGGCCGGCAATAATGTATCGCGAGACTACCGTAGAAGACTATTCAGACCTATTCGTTGACAATGATAGCATTTTTGACAAAAGATTGGATATAATTAAAGTCAGTATCCCAAGTAAGCTGCCCTGCGCATCACTAATATGGATGAATTTAGGACGATGCTCTTTCTCCGAAACTCTTCCACCCATCTGACCTGACAAGCGTTCCGCGTTCTGCTCAATCTCCTACCACAAATGGAGGCAGCAGCTTACGAAGAAAAACCACTCCCAATTCTCATGACAACCCATCCATACATCGTACAAACTCATCAGTTGAGATACAAAAATACGCGGAAAATGAAGATGATGAAGATTTTTCGGATATATTTGATCCACGTGGGGCTGTAGTTCCTAGGATTGAGACTGACAAAGGCTCAGGAGAAGCACTAATGATCAACTCAAAATTTTCACACAACTCCTGGCTTGGTGACGAGGATGATGAAGATGACCCATTTGCCTCATTGGAGCAAGGTTTCGATGAAATGGATTTACAAGCCAATATTGCCAGAGATAAACATGCTCGATTATGCGCATCAGTGGAAGGATTGGTGAGTTCACTGAAAGCAACACAAGCCGAGCATGTATTGTCTGAATTGTCTGAACAATTGGTATGTTTCTTGCTAATTATGATGTATCACTGTGTTAATGTGTGAATCAGCTTGATATTTTGTACGAGTCCGAGGATGCAAAGGGCCTGATAATCAGTGCTCATGGAATGCTTCCAATTTTGGAGATACTAGAACCGTGTACCCTGAAAAGCCGTCAAAGTATGATATTGAGATTATTGAAGGTCGTCAATGCAATCATTTCGAATGATGTCGAAATTCAAGAAAATCTTTGCTTTGTTGGAGGAATTCCCATCATCACAAAGTTTGCTGCTAGACAATACTCGAATGAGATACGTCTTGAGGCTGCTGCTTTTGTAAGACAAATGTATCAAACTTCTACTTTGACACTTCAAATGTTCGTCAGTGCTGGTGGACTGAATGTCCTTGTTGAATTTCTCGACGAGGACTATGATGATGCTAGGGATTTGGTTCTCATCGGTGTCAATGGCATTTGGAATGTGTTTGAGCTTCAGGTATGTTGGTTTATATGATACTCGAGCCGATAAACTAACACCCTAACAGGGGCCAACTCCAAAGAATGATTTCTGTCGCATCTTCTCGAGAAGCAAGATCTTATCCCCATTAGCGCTCGTTTTGGACCGTGTGTTAGATGAAGATGATGAACTCTCTGAACTTATTGAAGGCCGAATTGTCAATATATTCTATCTTTTCTCTCAAGCAGAAAACTACGTCAAGGAAGTCGTGGCTGATCATGTAGTACTCAAACGTAGGTTTTCTTGTGTGTTTGTGGTACGATTGCTCTAACAACATTTCAGGGGTTCTCAAAGATCTGAGACGAATGACACCCGCGCATCAAATCACCATGCTCAAGTTCATCAAGAACTTATCCATGTTATCAACAACTCTCGAATCTTTACATGCCGCAAACGCCATCGAACTTCTAATCGATCTGCTAAGCTCAAGTATGAAGCGCACGCCTGATCACTTCCGCGAGATTTCTAATCAAGTTCTGAATACGATGTATAATTTATGTCGACTGAGTAAGGAGCGACAGGAGGACGCAGCCTTCAACGGTATAATACCATTACTTCAACGAATAATGAAGACGAAACGCCCTCCGAAGGAATTTGCGCTCCCAATCTTATGTGATATGGCACATTCGGGGAAAGTTGGACGTAAATATCTTTGGCAGAACAAGGGATTACAGTTTTATGTTTCATTATTGGAAGATCAATACTGGCAGGTCACCGCTTTGGACGCTATATTCATTTGGTATGTTTAGAATCCCATAGGTAACAACTTGCGTACTGATCGTGTTATACAGGCTCCAAGAGGAGACGGCCAGAGTTGAAAAGGCTCTACTGGAGGGTAATTTTACTGCAATGATAGTTCAATGTTTTACTGTATCCAAAGCAAATGCCTTCGATTATAATTTACTGGAGCCTTTACAAAAGCTCCTACGATTAAGTTCGCCTATTGCTGGCTCTCTTACCCGGACTGATCTGTTCACTGGCATCCTGCAAAAACTTAACCACAAGAAGGCTGTTGTGCGATTAAATTTGCTACGCATTGTTCGAAGCATATGCGATGCTAGTGGTGATGAAGCAGAAAGCATCAGGCATCACGCCTTGTTTGAAGTGATACAACATCTCGCTGAGAATGATAGCGCTGTGCTGGTAAGAAATATGGCAAGTGAGCTAGTCAAGTTCAATTTGGATAAAGCCTCAGAAAGTGGAAGTGGTTCAAGGTCTCGATTGGCCCCTAGACGGGGAAGTTCTTTCACGGCACCTTCTCTTCAACATAGCGCGTCGACGCCTTTGACGCCCACTCAGGCTAGTCGAATGTCACAAACATCAGCATTCATTGATGGAAGTGTTACACCTTATAGGCGCTCGGGTATCACATCGACGGCATCTAGTAGTACCGAATCTGTGCATTATCGACCTAGAACTACAGAGGGCACAACATCCATTATGCGAAAAGCGAGCGGTGACTTAACAAATGGGACGTCGGTTAGCAAAAGCCGGTTACCTCGAACGGCGCTCCTTCGTGCATCACGATCATCAATAGCGGCACCGCAGCTTAGGGATGACCCATCACATCTTAGAAGGGAAAATAGAGAGAATGGAGTTAGGCCACGAGAGAGAGAACGTGAACGAGAACCGATCAGACCTACATCTTCGAATGCGGTTAGTGGGCCAGAGCATAAGTTGAATAGGAGGAGAACAACGAGACCGCCTAGTGGTGATATCAAATGGTCATAATATCATTTCGATTGTAAGGTCTGATACCAAATGGTATGAGGGGTCCTTGGATTGAGAAGGGACTGACCTGGCAGGATGGATGAATGGATTCATGGATGCATTAATGAATAAATACTTTTATGGATGAAATGGATAGGTAACGGAATTAATTGCATTTTCTTCGGAGTACATAAGGGATCGTGTAGACCATGAGGGGATCTGTTGGTTCATAGGTCTACTGTTTTGTAGGAACCAAATTTGTCTATTTTGCATTTTTGCGAGGAGTTTATGGGGATATCAGGGGAAAGGGAAAATGCGGAGGTTGATATTGATATGATTGGTATTGATATATCTGTGGTTGGGAAGTCAGATTATCTTTTTAGTAGGCTAGGATTGAGATGTGATGTGATGAGAGGAGATGAGATGAGCTAGATGAGATGCATAGGGATAAATCCCGAGAAGAATAGGAATATATGAATGAACACAAGGATGATTTCTTGTATGGATTGAGAAGTTTGGTTGATTTTGTGAGATTGGGTGATTACATGTTCGTACATCGGCCGAGTATTTCGGCGGTTGTAAGTGTGTTTCCAAAGTAGCTGAAATGATGGCTAGTGCCCTAAAAAATTACTTCACTAAAAGCTAGCTGCAACTGGGAGGTAATATACAGCAGGTGTATTGTTAGACAAGAAAGAAGCCGAAGAGCCGCTAGCCTTACTCGTTGAAGAAGCAAGTGCATCTACATTTACAGACTAGTGATTCGAGGTTCAGATCATACTTCAATAGCTTAGCTGCAGGGCCACGATAGATGAGATTTTAGAAAGCAGCGGGCGCGGTCTAGAAATCGATGTTGCGAGATATTAAGTAGGAGAGATAAATAAGCTCTTTGAAACACGGGGATGATAATATTCTGAACATTCGCAACGTTCCACTTACTTTCCTCACGTTCTAGAATTTGATAAATGTTGGTAGCAGGTTATGTTTATCACCGAGACCACTGGACTCAGAGGAAGCAAGCGGTCATGAACGCCAACAACTCAAACCACAGGGTCGCCTGGTCCCAGCGTTTTTAAGGAGGAACCGCTTAGCTTTGGAACAGTGATCTTCCTTACCGGCAACGGGCAGCCAGATGAAACCTTGTTCACGTACCAAAACAGCTTGTTGGTGAGGGCTATGAAATTGTAGATGTCAGAGATCCCATGGAAATAGCCCCCCTCTCAACACTTGACACTATTGCTGTTCACATTCTATATGCCACAGAGGCTCAGGATGAAGTATATGAAGCCGCGACTAAGTAATGGATCAGCCTAGAAGTTCCGGTTCGATGATTACGAAACAGGTCACGCTAGATGAGCTTGGTACCGAACCGACTCACTGGTGAACTCAGAAATCCAGGCCATAATCTTAGACAAATTCAGAATTGATATCTTAACTGGTGATTTTGAAAGATTAACCGATGTCGCATCTTTATGTGGTCTGCTCTCCTCACGAGTTGGTGACCACATTGCTGATACCGGTAGTGATAGTGACGAGAAACAAAGTCCAGTCTCCACTTTCGAGACAACAAATGATGCATTTTCAGACTGGAACAAGGTTGTCTTCAAGATTCTGAGTGAATCTCTCGACGTGCCAATTGCAGAAATGGAGATGGATTCAAATCTTGACAACCTAGGCGCCGATTCTCTTGTTGCAACAGAGATTATCAGCAAGTTGAATGAAGCATCTGGGGTCGACATATTAACGACAGAATTCGCTTCAATAGTCGATGTGGCATCTATCTTTACTTTGATTCCTGGTGCATCGGATGTTGATTCAGTGCAGACTCCAATAACTAGTCCGTCAAAATCTTTGCCAGCAAGTCCAGATTCAAGTGGTGATGGCGCAGCGGCTTTTTACACGGAAATAAAACTGACTGAAAACAAAGAGGGAACGACTTCGACCAAGTAGACCGCTGCTTCTGTACATGTGGCTTTTCAGGATATTCGTCACAGCTTCGATATTCATGCTAAGACCACCAATTACTTCGGTTACTGGGATAAGGTATACCCAGAGCAGCTGAAGACTGTCACAGCCTTCATCATAGAAGGTTTTGAGAAACTTGGCTGTCCTATCAGACAATTTCGCCAGGGAGAGAAACTTCCCGCGGTAAAACTCACACTTGGTAAGTATTGAAGAGAGATTCTACGGCTCTGGGAAATCTTGGAAGAGGCAGGAGTCGTCAAGAAAATAGGAGATGAAGTCGTATGTGGCTCCGCTGCCAAAGACTTTGTCAATAAAGCCATGTCTGCCAAGGGATTGAGTACCAAGCTCATTTCAGACTTCCCTTATTACTTACCAATGAACAGAATTATAGGTCTTGCGGGTCCTCAATTGGCAGATTGTTTCACTGGTGACGTTAATCCCATCTCTTTCTTATACGGTAATGAAAAAGGCCGTAGCCCCATTTATGACTTTAATTTCAGCACGCCAGATGCACTCGCTGCTGTGAACGTACTTTGCGATTTTGTTTCGGCAATCATTCGCTGTCGGAGTTTTGAACATGAGCCTTTACATATCCTCGAAGTAGGTGCTGGTACCGGGGGCACCACTAAGCACCTTGTTCCATTCTTAAAAGCCATTGGACTCCCCTTTATGTATCTTACACTTTCACCGATATCTCGACGTCGCTAGTCGCACGCGCTATGAAAACAACGTTTAAGGATGTCAAATGTATGAAGTTTATGAAACTCAAGATCAAGGAGACTCCCCTAGAGGAGTTGTGAGGACGCTATCATATTGTAGTGTCAACCAATTGCGTGCATGCGACACGCGAGTTAAGGTGCAGTCTAAGCAATATTCACAAGCTATTGTGTCCTAATGTTGCTTGTGTGGTGTTACTTGAAGGAACCCAGAAGTTAGCTTGGTTGGATTTAGTATGGGGCTTGCTAGACGGATGGTGGTCATTTGATGATGGTCGTTGCTACGCAATGCAAAGTATCTGGGCCTGGGAACGAGATATGCAAGCTGCTGGATTCTCCCACGTTGACTGATCCGATGGAATAAGTCGGGAGTCCCGAGGCTTTCGAGTCATTTGCGGCATGCTTACCGATACCGAGGACCCTTGTCCTGCTAAAGCGACCTCCATGCTTTTGCACCGTACGAATTTGGCTTCAGGAAATCGAAAATTATTCCTTGTCCCTGGTAGATTCGGTTCTGGAGCTTTATTTAGAGGCCTAAAGCCGTCATTGGTTGCTGTTGAGAATGTGTCTGTCTATGCGCTTGATATTCCCTTCACAATAATTAAACCCGATCCGAGACAACCGCCAACACTTGAGGAGCTCGCTGCTATTTACGTAGCAGAAATCAAGCAGAAGCAGCCCGAAGGCCATAACCTGATCGGAAGGTACTCTATCGGCGGTGTGGTAGCCTATGAGATTGTACGACAGCTTTTCGAAGACGACAATGAGGTTGAGAAGCTATTCATAATTGATACTGCATGTCCCACCTTCTCAACCTCGCTTCCAAAAGCTCTAGTGGACTTTTTAGATTCAATCATCGAAGTCCGCGCGACTAATTCGGCAGAGATTCAAGAAAAGAGAAGAGGAAAAAATGATCATTCTACGCTGGCAAATCAACAGTTGTCAAGGTACCAAGTGAGCAAGTTACCAGGCAGAAAGATACCATCCGCTATGCTATTCCTGGCGAGAGAGGGATTGGATACGCAGAATAAAATACCTAGACCAGACGTTTTGCCTGAAGAGCAGAGAATAGTGAATTGGTTCTTGGACAATAGACTCGGTGATGGGTCTCTTGGTTGGGAAGAGCTCTTGCAAGATGTGAGGGTGTTCCGGCCGAGGGTAATCACTTTTCGATGATGAAACGTTCTATGGTAAGCCAATCCATTCATAGATTACTTAATGAGATTTGCTATTGACCATCTAATAGATTAGCAATTAGGGTGTGAAGCTTGCTGAGATCTTGAATGCTGCATAGTAGTGACTGTTATCAAATAGTTGATTCCGCTTCACCGGGGGAACGCGGAGGTTGAAGAGTACTATGAAATAGCAGATGTTTCGACATGAGGAAGAAAGCAGATGAAAAGGGATTGGGAAAACCTCGCGTTTATTTCCCCACATCCTTAGTGCAAATCTCATTTGTATCTCGAACAGCACCAAATATCACAGTATCGAGAAAAATTTCAGTCGATTTTTGCTCTCGATTTTTGTACTTCTGGTGAATAACTATCTATATGACGATATCGATCCCACATTCCAATACCTCCTCCTCGCATTATACACAAGACCTAAAAAGTAGCTCTGTAGGTAGCTACAACATACTTCATCTATCACAATTCCAAGCAAAACTCGTCTCTGGAGGCATCTTCCCTCCCTCGAATTCTGGACTTGCTGTATCGAAAGCTTCTATTTCCCAATGTCTCATTGCTTATTGATACCAATATTTATTTAGAATCGTTGGTACAGCGTGATAATATATTGCGAATTGAGGTTTTAGATCGGATGTATTACGCCTTACTTATATCTGAACTGTACGTTTGTTGTATATAAATCAAGTATATGTAATCCTAGTATTGTAGTATGCTAAGAGTAATCTATAACCTTGGAAAGCGTAAGATTACGCTATTAAGCTGATAAGCTATTGCTAATGTATATGCACGTGCCTTTCTAACAATGTTATTAGGAGATTCAAAGAAGTGAAGGCTTTTGACTTTCAATGTGTGTCTTGGTAGGTTAGAGGTTATCTAATCATTATTTAGAGGAAAAATTTCGGATTTGCAAATTCAATCTTGACGTGTATGGTTATACACTTTTGAATAAACCTCCCTTCTGCAAGTGCCGACTCTTAACTCTAGATTTTTCAAACGCTTCTCGATGCTCTTTCGCAATCATCTTTAGTTAGAGATCGTATTGCTTGTCATCAAGAAAGCTCACCAAAATACATTTTTTGAGCAACAATTGCTGTTTTAATCTACATTTGTAGAGAGTACAAAGATATTAGCTCTTGAGGATACTCTGTTGGCTGCTGAGATCCGTAACCCTGCGCAAGGGAAATGAGGTACTTTGTAAACGCCATAAGGCTGAAAATAGTCAGATCTGTCAAGGAAGACCTCGGGAGTACCGAGTATATAGCACAATGTGGATATTACATTCTTCTATATGCTGTATGGAATTTGTTTTCAATTTGTTATAATTCAAGTGACCCCAGTATACTTGTTGATTTCCTTTCTATATATTTGCTTCCCTACCTATTATCCCACCATGACCGTCGATTTTTATCCCGTCCATTTGTTTCTATGTAATCCGAGCTCGATTTTACTAAAGCACTGTTCCATGCTTCTTTTTCCACATCTTTTCCGCATCTTCTAGCTCCATGTCTTGTAGCTCCTTTTCTGTTGGTGGTCTGTTTGGGTCAATCTCTTCATCAGACCAAGTTTTTCTCCCCGAGGTGTATTCACCCTTAGACTTGTAATATACGCCTGTGTTTGATGCAAGCTCATTGCCAGTGCGTGTTCTGGATGAACTACTTTTACCAGTGCTCGTGCTTGCTTTCCTTACTGCTACTCCTTGCCTTACTGCTGCTTTTTTGGGTGGACCAGAGGAAGTGCAGGAACTGTCTTCGCCTTGTCGCTGGACTTCAGGCTTCTTAGCAGGTCTGCTTCTGCTTAGACTACGATCATCACGCCTCTTTGCGGTTCCACGACTCGATTCTTCAGTCGCTCTAACACTCTCGGGCTTTGTTCTTCCACCTCCCTCTCTTCTTTTGGACTTGTCGCCCGCTAGATCAGGATTCGTCGTCGTCTTCTTGGCAGGCTTAGGAGGTTCTATAGTTTTGCCTCCTGTGGCTTTTGACTTAGGGCGCGATTCTAAAGATGCGGAATTATCTTCTTCGTCCGATGGAAACAATTTCTTCGCTAAAGGATTCTTGGGCGCCTTTCTCGTCTGGTCACCTGCTGCAGACTTTGAATGCGTGGGGTTTCTTTGTGAGACGAATAAAGACTCATCGGAGTCACTATCTAACACCTCGAAATGTCCCCGTCTAGAGGCACTGGCGTCCATTGGTTTAGATGAAGTTGAGAGAGGATTGGGGACTCTTCTACTATCTCCAGCTTTATTTGATATCTCATTCCTGATTGGCTGTTTTCCCTGTGCTGTTCTTTCTTCTGCCTTCACCTTTTTCGTTTTGCTATCTACTGCAGACTTTGGATACGTAGGTTTTTGCGAGACCAATGAAGAATCGGCATCGGACTCACTATCTGACACCAAAAAGGGTCCCACCTTTTTGTCCTTTCTTTTTCTATTGTCGTTTGTCGGTTTAGACGAAGTTGGGAGATTACTAGAGATGCTTGTACTATCTTTAGCTTTTCCTGACGCCTCCCATTTGGCTATTTGTTCTTTTGTTAGAGGTGGGAGAGTATTACCAAAGAGCTTTTTCTTCTCTTTAGGATCTTTCGGCGCGTCAGTATTGGTCCTTGACTGTTCAGATGGAGCTGGGAGAGAAGATGGCAGAGGTCTGCCGTCAGCATCAAAAACCCAGCCTTTCGACGCCCAAACATCCATTACGCGATTCATTTTATTCTTAGGCTATATAACAAAAGATTAGTAGGCAAACTTCACAGTGATCCTCTCTGAATATTAGATGATACTTACATTGTGCTTTTCAGAAAGATATTTTCCCTCTTTTGTCGATTCATTGATGAAATCCTTGGATTTAGTGCCGACTTTGATATAGCATTTGACTTTCTCGCTATCTTGTGGTTTAACTTGATCAGCGTTTACATATTCAACCTTCGACTCCCTGAAAATTATAAGTCGTCTTACGTCTCTGCCATTGTGGTCTTTTTCGGCAGGAAAGTAAATGTAGTGACTATTACTAGGGCTAATTGTGACCCTTAATGGCACAAGCTGACTAGAGACTGACATGGTGATTGTGTAGATGTTTAGTAGTTAATGTTTGGTATGAGATAATAGCTTTTGACAGTAGAGATGAAGTGTCTTTCAATATAGCAAAGTAGATTGGAATGTGAAATATATACTCCATCTTAATCCCTCATCATACTATATATACCACAAACCAACAAACCAAGTGGCTGCTTGAGCTACAAAGTATCAACTTTTTTTTTAACATGAGACTTATCACGTGAGGAGAACGAGTAAGCGGACAGGAAAAATTCGGAAGGACCCTCGTGGTAGATGCTATGAAAGCGGTCTCTACCGACCCCGCCGTCCGGGGGTGTACGTATTCCCTGATATTAATGACCTCGGGAATTGATGCTATTATTAGCAGGTCTTCAAGATCATAGAGATTTCCAACAGCAAAGCATGGGGCATGTCCAAAAAATCTCTAGAAACATTGCCTTAAAGTCTTAAGACACTTAAGTTCTATTGTAAGCATTAAATCTTTTCAATATAGACTGTGATCAAAATTTTGAGAAAATCTGATTGATTGTCCTGGTTGGACACACAAGCTCGAGAAAATGATTCTTGCTTTTTCCACGGAGTGTAGTCCTCGGCGCTGATCGAGGATATCTAAAATCAATTCAATCATATAAATGTTCATAATATAAATTTCTGAGGATTTTAAAATGTTGAAAATATCAAATTTCATTATAAAGACTCTATAAAAATAAATTTTGAAAGAATTTTATCTATAAATTATAAAGACTTTAGTATTTAAAAATATAATAACTTAGTGTGAAAATGAGTTTTAGCTGATTACTGAGACCGATTTGAATCATTTAGTCAAAACTCTAAAAATAGATTTTCGCTTAATGAAAAAAGAAATTTCAGAATCTATATGGTGTATTTATAGAAATCTTATAAAGAAAGATAGAATTCAATCTTATCAAAGATTTTTTATAGAATAAATTATATCATTGAATAGCTCTTAGGGTTAGCTTTATTTATATATTTTTAGAAAACATTTCGAAATTTTCTATAAGAAGTATATTAATATTTAAAATTTATTTTCGAATAATTTTTCTTATAATGTATAGACCACTTTTAGGATAAGTAAGATAAGCAAGCAAGTTTAGTAAGAGTTTTTTATCTAAAGTTTAGTAAGAATTTTTTATCGAGTTTATCTCAAGCTTATTTTACTTAAATCGTATGACTAATCAAGCCTCAATTAATCTCTTTAATAATATAAAATTTCTTTGATTTAGTATACAATTTTAAAGAAATTGATAAAATGAATAGGAAAGAAATATAACTATTGATTAGAATTCAAGAAATCGATTGATAAAAAATTTTTTGAAATAACTCAAAATTTGAAATTTATAATTAATATAATGATATTTAAAGAATAAAAGCTTTAGTATTGAAAGTTAATTATTATTTAAATTTTGAGAATACTTTGAAATTGAATATAAATTTCAGTTTTTGAGATAATCTAGAAAGAAATATATCAATCGATTCTTTAAATTCTAATTAATAGTAATACTTCTTTTCTTTTTATTTTATCAATTCCCTTGAAATTGTGTACTGAATTAAATGTTTTGTATAAAAGCACACTACTAAATTCTAAATACGATTTAAGCTCAGGCAAAATTCTATTTTTGGGGTTTTGGCCAAATGATTCAAATCGGCCTCAGTATGATAGCAGTTGGCACGTGCTGTATATTGAGGCCAGAAAATACGAAATTCCAGCCTCTAGTTGGGTGCAGACCACAAATTTCCGAATACACTTTGTCAAATTTCTATTTTTAGCATACCCGACCAGAAGATCCTACAGATCTTTCACTCCGCTTTTGACATACATTACTGACTTGGAATAGTATAGCGACGACTATGTTGAGGAGATATTAGGAGGATGTATATGTTGGTTCGAGAAGGATACGGAAGACGTAGCACCCACGTATTCGTAGGTCCTAAATGTCTAATTGTATTCTATCTAAAGAGCTAGCTATGTAGGAAAGTAGTAGGCCTTATATAGGCACTACTGAAAGAGCTAGTCTCTTTCGCATTCGCCTAAATCCCTTTAATACAGTAGTTATTGTATCGAAGTCATTCCTTTGAAGTAAATACCCTTGTTTATATAGTATAAGTAAAGAGATTAACAGGTACCTACGTATACGATCGATGCCAGTAGGGATTAATAGCCGAAAATAACAACTAGATGAGTCTATTCATAATAACATTTACTACGTATTATTACTTTATTATAATCTGAGCCACGATAGCGACTCAGTGATGTAATTAGTATATGATATTATGACTATGATTGATATTAAGATTATATAATATAAGATCTTGTATATAAGAATCAATAATATATACAGCGATAGATACTAGCTAATCGACGTACTACTAAAGAGTTATTAAAGTACTAGAATTTATATGTTTTAGATTTGAAATTTAGAAAATCGTATTGATATTTATAATTTTAAATCTACGATATATTACTATTATACTCTAAGAATACTATCTGTTTTACTCTTATATACCTTGAATTTAATATATACTTCATTTCATAATAAAAGGGAGACTAAATTCTTTAATAAGAGTATAGATTTCTAATTCTATAGACTAGACTCTACAATTTTGAGATAGATTTCAAAGTCAATAGACTAAAACTAGTAAGTCTTGAAAGTAAATAGCTTCGATTTCTAAGATATAAGAGTAATCGATTGAACTTTGTAAACTTCATAGTATAAGAATTATCTGTTTTTGAATTCAATAGATCAAAAAATCAGCATCGCTTCTCAGATCTTCGTCTTCTGAATCAGACACCGCTGAATCTTTTATCGAAAAATCTGAATCTATCAAATCAAAGGCTTCAGTTTCAGTTTCGCTATATCATTAGGCAAAGTATAACTAACATACAAGAAATACTCAGAATATAACAATCTATTTTCCATAATTATCACTAATCCGATCTACCAAAAGCCGTATGTTCCAAGAAAGATATCCTTTTCAGCATCCATGGAATCTACTTTTTATACCCACCCATAAAACTATCCTCAAACTATTGATGGGGGTTTGAGGATAGTTTTGTTAAACGCATTCCTTAAACTAGACAATAAAATTCATATTCTACATACCATATCTCCCATTCCCACATGAAAGTTGAGAATAAATCAAATCATCAGTTTCATCCATACATGCATCTATCCACTACACTTCTTTCCAAAAGAACAGGAAGAAAATGAAGAAAATGAATCACACTCAGAACAGGCCCTAGATATACAGATACACTCACTCTGGATACAGACTCGATTCTCCCCTCTAGATTAGAATTCAACACGATAGTACAATCATCTCAACAAGAATAAAATTCTATTCGAATAACAGTCTAATTTTCCCACGAGCAATTAGATAGATGTAGAGTTACAGATTTCGAATTAATTTATATATACTTTCATTACTAACGAGATTAACTGACATCGTAAGAACTTGAACTGACTATGTGATCGCCACCCTTTAATTCATTACTTAGAAAAACGATTTTTGAATTTAATAATAGCGAAGTCATGTTACTTTCTCTCTTTTCATAGTATTAGCTTTAAAGTTTTGGCGGAGAGAAAGGGTTTTTGCTTGCGAGAGAAATCTGGAGTGTTATTATGTGTATACATCTTATTGAATCACTATATTAACTTAAATCGATCAGTTCAATTGACCGAGAATTCCAAATTGATAAATAGGAAGTGATGAGCAACTAGGAAAGATGATCAATTGGCAACTCTAATCAGAGAGACCTAACTTCCTTCCAATCTTCCTCATTCCCATTTCCAGATAATCAATAAGAGTAATAGATACTATTCCACACGCCCATTCAACATCCTAGAATCAAAACTCTATTCCGAAAAAAAACTCGCTAAACGCTTGTATAAATCAGCGCCCCACACTGCTACATTCTACTCTATAGACAATGTCTCGATTCTTAGAATACACTTTAGTATCTGAGATGATTACTGTTACAATTACAGTTACGATGACATACTAGAGCATACGTATCAATCATAGAGATTAAACAAACATCCCGACACCAGAAAGCTAAAAGGAAAGAGATTTATCCTCAAGGGATATCTTTATTTCATCTCCAGTATGATAAAATAAAATAAAATAAAGACTGACATGCCTAGAACAAGCTAGTCGCGAGGTAATGAAGCGTGATATACATGATATGATATGATATTCATCACAGCTACAAACTATGCATAATCGATGGAGAAATGCATATTCTGTCTTTCCACTGCGATTTACATCAAGATATTCCTTCACCAAAGAGAAGAAGCTAAAACTGTTTTATATGAAAGGAAGTGTATGAATATAATCTGTTTTGCCATAACATCGATTCGATGGAAACTAGCGATTGAGTACTCCCCTCCCCGCCTCTCCTGGATTATGAGAGAGGAAGGAGTCCTTCAACTTGAAGAATAGGCAGGTCAAGAATAAATGAAAAATGTCCAGAATATAGCATTGTTCGTTCTCAGCAGAAGAGGAGAGATCTAGAGCCAAGGATTTCTACCAAAAAGTCCCCATATGCATATGCATCTGCATCGTGTCATTACTACCCCAAATTGTAATCCGAAACTATGCATTCTGGCATGTGGGTAAGAGAGTAGGTACCCAGAATCTTTAACCTTCCTCGTAATCGGAACTAGATAGCTAAGTATTCCCTGCTATGTGATTCACTCGAATTCACTTTTGTACTCTGCAACTAGGTAATCAAAATCTCAATCTCATATATCGAATCTACGATCCTCGTATCAAGGAGATGATAAATGCAACTTTCTCAGAGGAGAAACGAGTCATGGATTTTTTCAACTATGTATACAGGATTTGGTACTTTCTCCTAGGGCTGAGGAGATGGGGATTCCTCAATCGCTGATTAAGAGATCAAAACCAACGTCATATCTTCTGCGTCCACTACCTACAGAGACAAGAGATATTTCGCCTCGTCTCGTCTAGCTACAGCACAGATTGATTGATTGATCTGATCATGAATTCCATCGATAAAACGCGCACACGGAACTAAAGTCTCAAGTTCAAGTCTCAAGTTCAATAGTAATCAAAGTCAAGAGAGATACAAACTCACGACCCAAGACAATCGATTTATGCTCAAGAATGCAACAAAGAACTGATTCACGATAGAAGTAAGTACCCACCCAGGAAGTGAAAAGGAAGAATCACGGGCAAAAAAGAAGGACAAAAAAACATACAACAGCAGGGATTCGCTGGTGGTCACCCACCCAACTACTAATCTGCCGATCTGAGGCTTGTGTATGGCAGAGCGGACGGGATGCCCAATTCTCCTCAGTCTATGGTCGTATGTATCAGATGAGAGAGATTTGGGGGTTATATTGGGTTTGTGATTGGGTTGTTGATGGTGTGTGGTGTGTGGTTTTGTGTGGTGTACTGCGCTGGTAAGAGAGGTAAATGGTGAATGATGAGTACCGAATGAATGATGAGTAGTTATGAATGATGAAGTAGAAGTAGAAGAGGAAGAGAAAAAAGAGAGAAAGATTTGAATATTGTAATACATCCACCTATTCATTTATCATTAGTTTGAGAAAGCTTTCGCGTTTCAGAAATTCAGAGGGGGTGATACAAATAACATATAATCTAAAACATAGACTCAGATTATCAATATGTATTCTATCTAATGAGCTAACTAACTACAAATAGAATAGCTCTTATACAAACCCCTTATAAGAGCTAGCTTTTGCTCTCGCTTAAATGAGACTACAAATTAAAGATCTTTAACTTGAATCTCTATTTATATATCTATTAACCTGCGATTCTATATTTAAGAGAGTAAGTATATTATATTATACTTCTTATACATGCGTTATTAATCGTAAGTTAAGGGCTTATAAAGTTCTTAATAATATATAATAGATACTAGATAGAATAGTATTTTGCGTTATAGTATTATCCTATAGTAGTAAAGTTAACATCTAGATATAAAAGAAAATTCAATATAAATCTCTATACAATCTCTATATAGTATAAAGTATTATATTGAAATTTCTTTCATTATTAATAAAATATATACTTTGTTATTAACGAATATAATCGGCTCAAAATCGAATCTGTTTATTATTGAATTTTAATAAATATAAAGAAAAAAAGGGCTCAGAAGGATTCTTAGAGATTTCAAGTATTGAATATTAGAATTATAGAAAATGTAAATAGAAGGAAGTGAGTATAGGGGTTAAAGGAAAAAGTAAGCAAGCAGAGAAGTTAAAGGAAAAAAGAAACGAATAGAAAGCTAAAGAGTAGTAGAGGGCATTAGTCGAAAGATTAAAAGAGGGATTAGTTTACTTTACTTTTGTTAGTATCACCATGAGGATGATGAAGTCAATATAGTACTAATGATTTACACTATTATAATATTGCTTGAGGTTCTAAAAGCTAAAGGCTGCGAACGTATATACTATAGTGCCGGGGCGCTAGCGCGGTCACATGATTCCTGTCCCAACAACTTTCGATTTATTCTTTAATTAAAAGCTTTACTATTATATCATACAATATCGAATATATTATTTAAATAAGAATATTAGTCAACTCTAATCTATATAATTACATTCTTCGATTATTAATCGAATTTAATACAAGTAAATCTTCTTACTTGAAAATGATTGCTTTAGACTAGAACTTTCGAAAATCAAAAAATTTCGAAAAATTCTCTAAATGTATGAATAAAGGAATTCACTTAAGGGAATTCACTTCAAGGAAATGACTTCAATACAATAGCAACTATATTAAAGGTATTTAGGCGAAAGCGAAGGAGACTAGCTCTTTCAGTAGTGTCTATATAAGGCCTACTATTTCCCTCATTAGCTAGCTCCTTAGATTGAATACAACTAGACATTTAGGGGCCTATACATAGTAGGAACTACGTCTTTCGTATCTCTCTCAAACCAACACTAAATTTTATTAAAGTAAAATTTTCTTGTTATATATAAAGATAAGATTAATTATATTAATACTTTAAGAACGATATTCAATATAATATTAAAGATTAAATATTTTATTATACTTGACGAAGTAATGACTTCGTCAACTACGGATTATGCCACCACAGGGTTAAACCTACAAACCCCTGTCAAATATCCTTCCAGAGATACTTAACTAGTATTCAGTAATATTGTTTTTGTTTTACAATATATAATCTTTCCAATTGTTTTCTTTCTAAAATAAACTCATGAACTAGAATTATAGAAGAATCTTTACTTATCAAAAACACTTTTCCCAATCAGAACTGAAATAGATCTGGAGCTTCGGCCTCGACTTGAGATATACTGGACGTACACGTGCACAACCAATACTACCATAACCAGGTAGATATTCTTCGATAGCGACCGTTGTATTCGACAAGAAGTACGGTTCCAAAACCGATTCGCGAACTCTAAATGAAGAAGGATTTGTAGCTAACACAAACGCTCTTTCTATTCGAATCAGATCTGGGGCATCGGATTCTATTCGAAATTTCTTGAGACTGGATGTATATCTATACAATCCATATCGCTATAACCAAATCAATCTTCTTCGATAGCAACCGTCGGATTCGGTAAGGAGTAAAGTCCCAGCTAGGGTAGCTTTTCAAATATTCCAAGGCAACCTCATTAGCTTGACAGTCTCCTGATACCCTAAAAAGATCAGACATCTCCGACAAAATGTAGAAATTGAATGAGTTACTTTGGTATAGAAAAGGAGGATTTTCAATCACATAATACAGTCACTTTCTCATTGACCTCACTAATCGTTACATAGCATACTGGTATTGAAACGCGTGTAGCTATCCTTTCCCACAGATGGTGTGGGAGGTATTAGGATTGGGAAGGTAGAGTGTACACGTGAAGGGGGTAGATATATGACATTAGATATAACTAGAATGGAAATAGAATAATATATCCTGCAGATATTGGGATAGCAGGGACGCAGCTGAAACAAAAAGAGCTCAGAATATCAATAAGCTATAGCCAGAAAATGATAACAGGAAAGAAGAGAGAATGCGATAAAGAATAAAGTAAAGCGAATAAAGTTGTAGTACTATAAAATGAGAAGAGCATACACTAGTTGCCTCGTTACCCAAACTTCCTCTTATAGAATAAAACAGATCTTCTCCTGCGTGGGAAAAACAAGCATACCATCTTCAATCTCCATTATTATCATTATTATTCCGATATTCAGATACTAGCAGAATTGTTGACCAGCGAACTAACAAGCTATCAGCTAACTTTTTATATTCAACTGATGACTGACGATATCTCGTCATCGCCACCGATTAGCCCTATTAACTAATTAGCAACTGATCAGCTCATATCTAATAATACACCATTCCATACCTACTATCTCTATTCTAATTACTCCCCTTCTCTCCCAATATTCTAAACACTCCCCATGATAATAACTCCCCTGACAACCTAGCTATAGATGAATACGTTGTATTTACATTCGAGCAAGAGGAAAAGACTCTCTCACACTCGAGCTCATCGCTGGTATACACAAGAAATCATATACCAATCCAGCTAATTCAGACCATTTATTGCATTTCTCTTGACTTTCAATATTCCATCAAATCTATATTTTTTATTATATTATGCTTCTTCTAGATACAACGCTAGTTGATCTCTTCGAGTAGTAGGACTTCCTACTCCCGAGCAGGAACAAATCCGCAAGAATATCCTCCCAGAAATTAAAAGCTTCTTTGCTATGGTTCTGGAGAATCAGGAATGGCGAATTCCCCTTCCCTTTATATGAGTGATCCCACTGCTTCTTCAAATCTTTCCTGTCTCTACGATAATAACAAATGTAATCTCTGGACCGTCATTCTACCGGGTAACAGACTAGTTAATTCTGAAAATAAACTCAGTTTTAAAGTTATAAGGGAATTATAGTCAATATATATAATCAATACAATTACTTACAAATTTACAATTTAATAGAAAAATCAAATTCGATTTAAAAAAACCTCTCTAATTAAGATAAAATCTAGTTCTTTATAAAATCTTAAAAATCTTCGAAATCTTTTTAATCAAATTAATAAAAATAAACACTATATGACATTTTCTAAAAATTGAATTTGATAAAAAAGAGACTAATACGTTTTCAAACTATTAAAAATCCCTTTTACATATTTAATTTAATAAATCTAATTACCCAAAAAATTACATATCAAAGAAGAAAAAAAGAAGATTAGAAAATAATTTTAAATTTCTTAAAAAAAACTATGAAAATTTATTTAACTCAAGAGGATTTATAATTCTATTTAAAAGAATATCATTTAAAAAATTAGACATTTTAATTTTCTTTTCTTATATCTTTTTTTTTAATATAGAATTGATATTAGAAAATGTTGAAAGTTGTAGTACGTATACTAAGCTACTATATATATATTACTTCCACTTTATAGTTAGATTTTACCTTAGAACAATTAATCTATATAGTCAATATTATATATATTCTACTAGCCTGCTCCTTTATTATAAATAGAAAATTATTAAAGAAAGATATTGTAATTATTTATAATCTAATTTTTAAAGATTGGAGAAAAATATTATTATTAAAGATACCTGAGTAAGTATATAAATAGATTTTATTCTATAAATCTATTTTAGATTGATATTAATCTATACGATATATAATTATAAAATATAGAATTTTTATAGTATAGTTTAGAGGAGTTGATGAAAAATCTTTCTATTATATTATATTATATTATATCTAGTTGATTTATTATTATTATTGACTTTTATATATATAGTTGTTTTGTATATATTATAGTTTTATATATATATAGTAGTTTTATATATACTATACTACGAATATAAAAATCTCTCATTTCCTTCTAGATAGATATATATAATAAGTAACCTTAATCTATTCACCCTGCGAGCCTGCTAGCTACTTTAATATCCTATCTACTCATGTATAATTACCTACCTACTTAGATTTATAATATACCTATATTATACTCTATATAATAATTCTTTCTTTCTTTCTATATTTCTTTTATTACTATCTATGAATACCTAGTTATACAATACATATCTAAATGTAAGATTACAACGCCAGATAGATAAAATTTATACGATGGATGAGTATAAATACCTCATACGATTAATTGATTGATTGATTGATTGATTGATTGATTATCTAGCTAATTGAGCGAGTTGGAAGGTACCTAGGTAGATGGAGTGATGTGAGGAGATGAGATGAGATGAGATGAGATGGTGTAACGTGTTGGGTGGAGGAGAGAAAGGAAAAAGGAGATGGAAGGGAAGAGAGAGGGAAAGGAGACGGAAAGAAAGAGAGAGGGAAAGGAGACGGAAAGGAAGAGAGAGGAAATATTGAAAAGATATCAAAATAGGAATAAGATGAAGTAGAGTGGATTATATAACGACGAATGAATCACATACTAGGTATGCTATTTGAGGTTTCTCGTCAAGTATTTACTCATCCATCCATCTATCTATCTAGGTACTTGAATTATGTAGGTGGGTTTTTTTGTTTCGTATTCTATTAGGATTGATTGATCTGTGTATTGTATTTGTATTTGAATCGTGGAATGGATTGTTGAGTGTTGATTGTTGATTGTTAATTATTGATTGTGGATTGAAGAATGTATCTAGGTTGGTATGGAAACACGAGGTAATTTTAATCATCACTTACTAGGTACTTGGTACTCGGTCTCGCTGCTGGATGGATAGGTGATTTGCTAGGTACCTGAATTGTGTATGTGTTATGTTGTGCTGTAGTTATTGAGGTTATTACTTGGCAAGTATTGTATTTTCTCTAATAAGTATTTGATGAGGAGCGATGAAGAGCGATGAAAAGGTAATAGGTGGGTACTCACGTGGTACTGTATTGATATTGATTTTTCAATTGATTTTTTCCAAGCAAGGAAGGATACTCAGGAAGGATACCTACTCACATAGAGGTACCTAGGTAGTCTTATTAATCCATAACCATTACCCACTTTCCCCCGCAAAGCAGCAGATCCGACGGAGGATTCCTTGGTTCAAGCGGCGAGCTACCTCTATACGGGTAAAGTGTTGGTTTGATAGTTGGGTCAATTGGTTACGATAAATTGAGTAGTGGAGTTCTTTTTCCAAGTGCCGTGATCTACTCAGCTAGTACGGACTAGGAAATCCTTGAAAAGAAAGCTCCCGTTAAGGTGGGTAGTAGGTGGGTAGTCGCTCACTAACGTCAGTCAACGTCAACGTCAATCGAGGGAAGAATTCGAGATGTGCAGAGATTAAGTAGGTATTTCGTATGACAATCATATCAAAAATACTGAATGAGATGGTGTATTTCAAGTAACTGATGGATGATATGAGAAGCTCCTCTATTAAGGAAGAAGTACCTACCTACATCTTTAATCGTAAAGAATTAATCGACGTCACTACCCAACCATCCACCTAGCATGTTGAAAAGAGATAGAGACGCTTCGTTTGCTTTATCGATCGGTTGAATTTATCCTCGTAGATACCACCTACCTAGGTACACCAGTACTAGGTATGTAACGATGGAAGCTAATTACTGGTACGAAGATATTTCCATTTGATAAGGCGAGACCAACACCAACAGAAGCAAGTAATAATCCTAGAAATATCCATCACATTTTCCTCTCCTCCATTGTGATTTGTCGAGCTTTCCTTCGGTGTGCTATCTCTTTTCGCTCACTAGAACCGAAAGGATGCCAATGCCATCCCATGTAATCTGGGGGTGGAACGTGCTTCAAGACAAAACAATGAGGGGAAAGTAAATAAATGATGTGATATGGGGAGGGATGTTTGGCGATACCTGCATCTTTGGCGGGATGATGTGTATGTACGAGGAGATGGATATGGCGAGATAGAAAGGGTTGGAGTCGATGTACTAGAAACATTGTTGGATACTGTCGGTGCTAGGTATTAATACGATACTGAAGACCATGGATGGTTGACAAGAAGTTATCAAATCCGATAGATGAAATGACAGCACAATCGGAAGATAAAAGAAAATTGATCAATATCTACTATCTAATACCTACCTCCCTACTTAAATACACATATCAGGAAGAAGAAAAGAATTAGAAAAGCAAAAAGGACAATTGAAGATTTCTGGTGATAACAGAGGCGTTGCCTAGCGTCATATCTCATATTTCATTTGAAAGTTCTCTCTCTCTCTCTCTCTCTCTCTCTCTCTCTCTCTCTCTCTCACTGTATCATTTCCTTAACCCTCAGCTCATCAAGCAAGAGTGGTGTCACTTCAATCTTCACTCACTTCACACTTCACACTTCACACTTCACTCACCACCTCACCCTTCTCTCCCTCTTTTCGCTGGTCGTTACTTCCACAATCAACAAATTTAAACCAATTCGGACCTTCTGAATTAAATTCTTTTTTCCCTCTCACCAATTTCGTTAATCTTAATTCACCTTGCTATCCGAACTTAACTTTTTTCCTCTCCTCTACCTCTTCCGACTCAATTCTTCTTCTTCTTCTACTTTTTTTCTTTTCTTTCCCTCCACTACACAAACATCTCGACATCAACTTACCCCATCCTCTTATTCCTCTCCTTCTTTCATCAAGTAATTGAACAATTCCTTAACCATTAAAGATATTCCATTCATCGGAATTCTTTTCCATACTCGACGAGGTCGCGTCGTTTATCCCCAT